ACTTCTTTTCCAATGTGAATCCCATTTATTTCCTTTTCTTCCCTGATTTCTCTGCTGAGGACTTCCAATACTATGTTAAATAAGAGTGGTGACAGTGGGCATCCTTGTCTGGTTCCTGTTCTTAGAAGAATACGTTTGTGTTTTTCTCCATTGAGAATGATATTAGCTGTGGGTTTGTCATATATGGCCTTTATTATGTTGAGGTATTTTCCTTTTATACACATTTTATTTTGACTTTTTATCATAAATGGATGCTGTATCTTGTCAAATACATTCTCTGCGTCTATTGAGATGATCATGTGATTTTTATTCTTCATTTTCTTAATGTGGTGTGTCACATTGATAGATTTGCGGATGTTGAACCATCCTTGCATCCCTGGAATGAAACCCACTTGATCATGATGTATGATGTCTTTAATGTATTGTTGTATTTGATTTGCTAGTATTTTGTTGAGGATTTTTGCATCAATGTTCAACAGTGATATTGGCCTGTAATTTTCTTTTTTTTGTCTTGTCCTTGTCTGGTTTTCGGTATCAGGATAATGTTGGCTTCATAGAATGAAGCCTCCCCTCCTCTTCAATTTTTTGGAAGAGTTTGAGAAGGATAGGTATTAATTCTCCTTTGAATGTTTGGTAGAATTCACCAGCTAAGCCATCTGGTCCTGGACTTTTATTTTGTGGGAGGTTTTTGATTGCTGTTTCAATCTCCTTACTGGTGATTGGTCTATTCAAATTCTGTACTTCTCCTTGGTCCAGGTTTGGAAGGTTGTATGTTTGTAATAATTTATCCGTTTCTTCTAGATTATCCAATTTGTTGGTGTATAGGTTTTCATAGTATTCTCTTATTATCTTTTGTATTTCTGAGGTGTCCATTGTAATCTCTCCTCTTTCAATTCTGATTTTATTTATTTGAGCCTTCTCTCTTTTTTTCTTGGTGAGTCTAGCTAAGGATTTGTCAATTTTGTTTATCTTTTCAAAGAACCAACTCTTGGTTTCATGAATTTTTTCTATTGTTTTTTTCGTCTCTATCTCGTTTATTTCTGCTCTGACTTTTATTATTTACTTCCTTCTGCTGATTTCGGGCTTTGTTGTTCTTTTTCCTGTACCTTTAGATGTGCTTTTAGATTGTTTATTTGGGATTTTTCTTGTTTGTTGAGGTAAGCCTGACTAGCTATAAACTTCACTCTTACAACCCCTTTTGCTGTATCCCACAGATTTTGGCATGTCTTGTTTTCATTTTCATTTGTCTCCAGGAATTTTTTGATTTCTCCTTTGACTTCTTCATTGACCCAATCATTGTTCAGTAGCATTTTGTTTAATCTCCACATTTTTGTGGCTTTTCCAGTTTTCTTCCTGTAGTTGATTTCTAGTTTCATACCTTTGTGGTCAGAAAAAATGCATGGTATTATTTCGATCTTAAATTTATTGAGACTTTTTTGGTGGCCTAATATGTGATCCATCCTGGAGAATGTTCCTTGGGCATTTGAAAAGAATGTGCATTCTGTGGTTTTTGGATGGAATGTTCTGTGTATATCTACTAAGTCCATCTGGTTTAATGTGTCCTTTAAGGCCAGTGTTTCCCTGTTGATCTTCTGTTTGGATGATCTATCCATTGGTGTAAGCAGAGTGTTAAAAGTCCCCTACTATTATTGTGTTACTATTTCTCCTTTTATGTCTGTTAATAATTGCTTTATATATGTAGGAACTCCTATGTTGGGTGCATAGATATTTACATGTGTTCTATTTTCTTGTTAGATTGTTCCCTTTATCATTATGTAGTGCCCATCTTTGACTCTTGTTACAGGTTTTGTTTTAAAGTCTATTTTGTCTGATATAAGTATTGCTACCCCCACTTTCTTTTCTTTGCTATTTGCATGGAATATCTTTTTCCATTCTTTCACTTTCAGTTTGTGAATGTCTTTAAATCTGAACTGTGTCTCTTGTATGCAGCATATACATGGGACTTGTTTTGTTATCCAACTGGCCACCCTATGCCATTGATTTGAGCATTTAGTCCATTGATTTTTAAAGTAGCTATTGATAAATATGTATTTATTTAAATTTTGTAACTTTTTTTCTGAGTGTTTTAATACTTCCTGTCTTTTTCTCTTGCTCTCTTCCCTTGTGGTTTGATGGCTATCTTTATTAATATGTTTGATTTCTTTTGTCTTACTTTTTTTCTTGCTTGTTATAGGTTTCTGATTTGTGATTACCATGAGGATCCTATTTAATATACTATGCATATAACAGTCTATATTGAGTTGATAGACTCTTTAGCTTGACCTCTTTCTAAAAGCTCTACTTTTTCACTCCCCTCCTCCCACATTTGAGGTTTTTCAAATCATATATTGTCTCTTGTTTAGTGGGTGTCCATCAATTACCCTCTTATCATTGAAACAGGTGATTTTAGTACATTTGTCTTTTAACATTCATATTATCTTCACAGGTAGTTAATATCCTAGATTTACTATATTTTTACCTTTGCAAGTGGTTTTATTGCCTGTTTTTTGTTGTTGTTTTGTCTTTTGGATAATAATTTTTTTTAAATCTCTATTTGTGGTCATTGCTTTCCCACTGAAATAAGTCCCTTCAGCATTTCTTGTAGAACTGGTTTCTTGGTGATAAACTCCTTTAATTTTTGCTTCTGGGAAGCTCTTTATCGCTGCTTCCATTCTGAATGACAACCTTGATGGATCGAGTATTCTTGGCTGTAGGTATTTTTCCTTTTAGCACTTTAAATACATTGTGCCATTCCCTTCTAACCTGTAGAGTCTGGCTGAGAAGTCCACTGATAGGCTGATGGGCTTCCCTTTATATGTCACTTGTGGCCTTTCTCTTGCTGCTTTTAGGATTCTCTCTTTATCTTTAATTTTGGACATTTTAATTATAATATGTCTTGGTGTGGGCCTCTTTGTGCTTATCTTGTTTGGAGCTCTCTGTGCTTCCTGAACTTGGATGTCTGTTTCCTTCCACAGGTTAGGAAAATTTTTGTCTATTATTTTTTCAAATAAATTCTCTTCCCCTTTGTCTCTCTCTTCTCCTTCTTGGACACTTATAATCCAAATGTTAGCATGCTTGATATTGCCCCAGAGTTCCCTTAGACTGTTCTCGTCTGTCTAATTCTTTTTTCTGTTCTGCTTGGGTGATTTCCTCTAGTCTTTTGTCTAGCTCGCTGATGTGTTCTTCTGCATCCTCTACTCTGCCATTGAGTCCCCCTAGTGGTTTTCTCATTTTCAGTATTGTATTCTTCTTTCTGACTTTTTAAAATATCTTCCCGTTCTTTGCTGATGTGCTCACTTTGTTCATCCAGTCTTCTCCCAATATCTGTGAGCATCCTCATGATATTTTGTTTGAGCTCTTTGTCAAGTAGTTCTATTGTTTCTGTTTCATTCAGTCATTTTTCTGGGGTTTTGTCCTGTTCCCTTGCTTGGAAAGTATTCCTTTGCCTCCTCATTATGCCTCTTTCTCTGTGTTTATTTCTATGTATTAGGTGAGTCAGCTATGTCTCCTGATGGTGGAGGAGTGGCCTTATGTATGAGATGCCTTATGAGGCCCAGCAGTGTGCTTCCCTCTCATCACCAGTCCAGAAGATCCAGGAGTGACCCCTTGGTGGGCTATTTGTGTCCTGCTGTGGCAGGGCTGCTCCCAGTGTAGGTACCCAGGGAGTCTAGTCTTTCCTTCCCTGGCCCGCTGTTTGTAAATCCAGTTTGGGGGGGCTCAGCACCATTGGCTACAGTCTATCAGCACACTCCTATTGCAGTTTTTCTCTTAATTGGGTTGGTACCCAGTGCAGCTGGTTGCTAGGCTCAGGGGCTTGCAGTTGCTCTAGGCCTCAGGCCTACAAGGCTGTTGTCAGTTCTCTTAGGAGTGCAGCTAAGTGAGTGAGTGGGGCTAGCCCTAGGTATGGGAGCACTCAATTGTTTCAGGCTTTGGAAGGTGGGGCTGATCCTTTTTATGGCTATTTGTGAAGCACAGGTCTTCTGCTGCTGATAAGGCTCACCGCCCCATAGGACACACACACCGTCCAACACAGTCCTGGTTCATGCACACTTCTCAACACCCTGGAGCGTACCTGGATGCCGCACTGCAGAGACCCCCACCTCTCTACCAATGTCCCCCACAGTTCACCTGGTCCTCACACAGTCCCTGTCCCACAGAGGCAGACACCCTTGCCTGCCTGTAGAGGATCAAGGCACACAGTCAATGCAGGCTAAAAAGTAGCCTGAGAGCTTGCCCTTAGGTGGGGCCAGACCCTAGGGCAGGTTGCCTTCCCTGGCTGAACTGGATTCGATCTGTGCTCTAGTGGGCGTGGCAGACCCCTGGGCTAACAGGCCAAGGGATGATCCTCAATGGTGCCCACCGAGGTCTGTGTCAGCATGTCTGGACCAGTTCAGAACAATGGCCCCCACCAATGTCTCAGTCTCCGGAGAGGTCCCTCCTCTCACCAAGATGCCCCCAGAACCCACCAGGTGAGTCTCGTTTCCAAAAAAGACTATCAGCCTTCTTTCTGGTGATTTTAGGTTGCTGCAATGAGTGAGTTTGTGTGTGGGCCCTTAATGACCCAGGTCTTTTCAGCTTTGGGCTGATAGCTTTTCTGGGGGTATCCTCGCTTCAGTTAATCGCCAGCAAAGCCAGACAGTAAGACCCCCATCTCAGTTGGGCTGAGTCTGAAGGATGCTTATAGCAGTATTGACCCCACTCCAGACCTCACTCCTCCAGGGAGGGCTGCGTACCTTAGGGTGTCTACCGCCTGGCCGGCTGAGAAGCTTCGCTGCTCCCAAAGGTGACTTTTTTCCTCTCCAGCAGGAATTTCTGCCTCTTCTGCCTAAGTCAGGACTGTCCCTTGTTGTGGGGTTTCTTTTTATCCAGTTTTCACTTTTCTCTCCAGGGTAATTTTTCCAAAAATAGTGTAACCTGGTTGTGTTCATGGGAGGAGATGAGTTCAGAGTCTGCTTATGCCACCATCTTGATGAGATCCTGAGGCTCTATTTGTCTTCCAGCATCCATACCCCAGTTTACCAATTCCCCCACAATGGTGATCATGGTGGGCTTACCAGCTCGAGGAAAGACCTACATCTCCACAAAGCTCACGAGATATCTCAACTGGATAGGAACACCAACAAAAGGTATGTGTCTGAAACCATTTGTTCCAAAGCATCCTTCAGGCCATTGGCTGAAAACAGAGTAAGATAGCAGGTGGCAGAAGAGACAAAGCCCTCAATACCAGAAATGTCTCAAGCCATTATTACCAGTATCAGGACTATTAGTACTACTATTTCTGGTACTACTGTTACTACTACTGCTAATACTACTAGTACTACTACCACCACCACTACCACTACACTCATAAATTTTATAATTTCTTGAGCACATACTCTGTCCAACGTGATGCCAGGTGCTTCATATAGGAACATTAGTAAGATTAAATGTCTGTTCTCAGGGAACTCTAATATTGCAAAACCTCAAAACAACTCTATGAATAACAGACTATTTCTATTACCATGTCTATTATTACAATGCCAATGTTATTATTTTTATTAGCATTACCATTTCTTCGTAATCGTACGGTTTTCAAAAAACCTTAAGGGCATGTTGAAGCACACTGAAGCCACAGCCCAGAGACCCCCGTAAGGTCTTCTCTACAGCTGGATACCTGAGTTCACCTCGTCCTCCCGAGTCTGGAAGGTTTCCACTCTCTCCAAACCTCTCCTTAGATCTGAGCCTGTCCGCTCCCCCTCCATGGCCAGAAGTGGTCCTGCCTCCTTTCCGCCTCCAGAGGGGTCTCCTTCCCTGCTTGTCAACCTCCTCCCCAGCTCCCTCCTTCCAACTTTCCATTCTTCTCAATGTGGTCTTTTTTCTGCTTACTACCCCTTATGCAGCTATCATTCCCTTCTATTCTCCATTTGATTTCTCAATTCCCCCACCCTGTATCCCCGTTTCTATTTGATTCCTCTGTTCCTCCTAGGAGGACTGTGCTTCTCTGAGCTCCCAAGCCAGCTCTCCCTACTGCCCCCCCCCCATGCCAACACTAATTACATAGTGTGTTGTTGCAGTGTATGTCTGGGTCTCTCTCCCCAGGAGCTGATCTGGGGGCAGGGGACTGGGTCACGTTCATTTCTGTCTCTCCAGTATGATCAGATCAAGACATTTAGAGGCTCTAAACACTAAAAGATAGGGTGCCCCCACATCATACGTAATTTACAATAAAAACAGCAAATGTAAGAAAGTCTACAACAGGTTTTTGTTTATCCCCTGATGACTATATTGATGCTTTTGAAGAATATCAACTTATCTGAAAAATTTTATTGGGCCCATGTTTCTCTTTTACTGGTGCACTGAGCAAGTACTTAGACTCTGTCTTGTGAAATGGAGCACTGCTCCCCAGTGCAGAAAACAGTTCTCCTTGGGCACTGATTTATGTAGTCGCTTGTTAACGATTTGTTGAGCACACAGCCGTGCCAAGGCCGTTGCTGGATGATGGACAAAGAAAGACAAGTAAGATAGGATGCCTGTCCTCCAAGAAAACTCACAGCCATTCTTAAGTTCTAAGACACCCATGAAGGAGGAACTAGTACTATCATCATTTCACAGTTGATGAAATTAATGCCCAAGAGGTGAAGTGCCTTGTTGAAAGGCACGTGGCCAGTAAGTGATGGAACAGGATATAAACCCACATCCGGTTGATTCCAAAGCCTGACACTCACTGTGACAGGTCTGATTCTCGGCTCTACTGATGGGAAGAGAAAAGAGCCCCACAATGGCCCTGTACTCTCCATTTCTCCGTTCTCTTCCCCTCCTTTCTCTTGCCCATCCCAACACCCTATCTCTCTTCCCCCTCCCCTCCTTCTCTCCAAGGCTTCTCTTCTCTTTCTCTCATTTCTTCTTTCCTTTCATGTACTTTCTCTTTCTCTAATTCACTGGTGAAGAGTTTCCCAATGGTTTCCCATGTGCCACAATCCATGCTAGGCATTGGACATGCAAAAATGGGTGAGTTCACACCCTGTCCTTGAAGAGTTCTCCATCTGGCTGGGATGCATAATACATGTTACCTAAGAGTCCCAGAACAGGGTGCTGAGAGGGCTCATGGGGGAAATCACCAACTGGAAGGGAGTGAAAGCTTCCAGATAGAGTATGTTTGAGCTGGGTCCTGCGGGAGGAGTAGAACATTGGCAGAAGAGAGGAGAGGGAACAGTTCTCATGGAGGACTGCCGGCTCTGAGGAGCCTTTGCTGAGTGTAGGGGCACATGGGACAGGGGTGGATGGGTCTCTGCTCTGATGAGTCTGCTTCCCATCTGCTCCACTCCAGTCCCTTCTCACAGAGGCCCTCAGAGTCATATTTCAAAGCACAAAGCTGACCATACCTACAGCCTCCAAGTTTACATTTAAACAGCCTGCAGGTTTAAATCCAAGCTCCATTGCCTGTCATTCAAGGCCCTCCACAACCAGCCCCTGCCAGTCCCCCAGGCCTCAGTCACAATGGATGACTCATCATCCCCCAAACATGTTCTGCCTTCTGCCAACGTCATACCTTTGCTCAAGCTGGTCCTCTGCATGGGGTGTCTTTGTTCCCCACGTCCATGCCTCTCTCATGACTGTGAAAGGCCCGCCTTCCTAAAAGGACTGGTTCAAGTGCTACTTTCTCCAAGAAACCACCTCAGATCACCCCAAGTTTAATTAGTCTTTCCTTCCTCTTTACTCCTTTGCATGGCTCTGTCAGAGCACTTAACAAACTGGGTTGGAGCTCTCTGTTTACTGGTTTACTCTCAGTCCTACCTCCTGGATTATGAGCTCCTTGGGGCCCCATCACGCAGATTTGGTTCATCTCTGACACCCCAGAGCATGTGTCCTGCTTCACAGAGGTGACATCAGAAAGTATTTATTGGATGAATAAATGAATTATTACATTGCCTCTTCAGCTATTATCCAGTTTCTTTTCCTTTCCTTGCCTCCTCTCTAGCTTTTCACAATTATAAATGAGAAAGTATAGCCTAGAGAGGGCCATAAATTTAGATTCTCTGTCATGATATGGAAAAATGTAATAATGTTGAACTAGGATTCAGAAGGCTCAATCTAGTTCTGTCGCCAGCTCACTCACTGACCCTTGGTGATTGATTTTACTCCTTTCATCTCAGTTTATCTTTCTAATGCAATAGGGCATTAAAACAGCTTGAGTTTTTGATAAAATAGAATAGTGGAAAGACTACCAGCTTTGGAATCAAGCAGACCTGAGTTTGAATCCCAGCTCCCCGCTTCTTAACTGAGAAAGGTATTTCCTCTATCTGAATTTCAGTTTTCTCGTTTGTAAGATAGGAATGGTGATTCCTACTCTATAGGGTTGTTGTAAGGACTAAATGAGCTGGTAGTCATAATTTGAAGCTTTATAAGCATATTATATAGCTACAAATTATACCTTCTTCTACCTCTGAGATCCCTCGCAAGTACATTTTTTTTTTTTTTGCCACTGGGATCTTCCCAACCTCTTCACCAGGGCTCCCTGCTTTCAGTGTTTAATTTAGGCCAGTATCGACGAGAAGCAGTGAGCTACAAGAACTACGAATTCTTTCTCCCAGACAACATGGAGGCCCTACTTATCAGGAAGTAAGTACTTAACATTTTAGGGACCTGTGCTGCATCCTGGCTGAGGGAGGACTTTGTTCAGATGATGGGGGAGTGGAGCAGAACAACTTGGGTTAGCGAGGAATCCCTCTAGACTCTCAAAGGGTGGTTGAGACAGTCCTTTTACCATCCTACCCAAAACCTATTTCTGGTCATAACCGTCTCCTACTTAAGAAATCTAACAGCCCCCTACTTCTGACAGGAGAGTAGAAACTTCTCAGCCTAGCATTTGAGACAAGAATTTCAATAGCTAGGCCTGCCCCAGTCTCATTCATTCAACCTCAGGGTCTCTCTCCTCTATAAGACTGAGCACTTCCAGAATAGAGCCTTGTCATTAGTGCCATCAAGTTGATTCCAACTCCTAGTGACCCTGTGTACAGCAGAGCAGAATCCTGCCCAGTCTTTTTGCATCGCTCCACTGCTGTTTGTAGGGTTTTCATGGCCAATTTTCTTGGAAGTAGGTAGCCAGGTCCTCCTTCTTAGTGTGTCTTAGTCTGGAAGCTCTGCTGAAACCTGTCCACCATGGATGACCTGCTGGTATTTGAAATACCTGTGGCATAGCTGTCACATTACAGCAACATACAGCCACCAGAGTATGACAACTGACATACTGGTCTGGTGTGGTTCCCTGACCAGGAAATGAACCCAGGCCGTACTGGTGAGAGCACCAAATCTTAACCAGTAAACCACTGTGGCTAGCTAGAATAGAGCCTGGGTCTCATTTATTGAACCACGCCTTCATAATAGAATCCAGCAAAGAATAATCACTAAATAGATTTTTGCGGAAAGCATAAATACATTGCTACCATCATACTTGTGCTTGCACTGTTATCCATGCCAAGAATGCCTTCTACTTCAGAGACCATATACTCAGGTTCTACCTGGGATCAAGAACCAGTTCAGCTTGAGCTCTATTACTTCAAGAGTTGGTGCCCTTGATATTATTGCTTCTATCATTAGTCCATGTTTCCTGGGTATGTGACTTTATACCTGCCCCTAAGATGTGCACAGAGAGCCACTTACAACTGTGTGACTGCTCTGTGCTTGTCATGGTGCCTAGAACATAGGACACCTTGTATAGATGTTCTATAGATAAATAATTTAATGTAGGACATCTGAGACATGGTGCAAAAGATAATGCAGAAAATTAGAAAGGAACCCATCTTGGGGATAGGGATTGTCTCTGTTTCTTTCTCCATCTTTTTCAGGCAGTGTGCCCTGGCAGCCCTGAAAGATGTCCATGACTATCTCAGCCATGAGGAAGGTCACGTTGCGGTAAAAAAATCTGCACTTTCCCTCAGGTTTCTACTGGGATGGAGAACAGTTAATATGTATTGAGCATTTACTATATTCCATACATTATTCTAAGTACTTTGCAATATTAATTTAATTCCTTCTCCTCCATGAGACAGGTATTGTTATCATATACCATTTTATAGCCCAGAAGTATGGCACACAGAGAGATTAAATAGTTTTCCAAAGTGGTACAGTGTGTATGTGGCAGGGCCAGAACTGGAATCCAGGTTGTATAGCTCCATAATCTACATTCTTAACCACCATGTTCTACCACTCCACTCCTAAGAATTTGGCAGGACTACACTAGAATTTAAAACTACGGTACAAACATTTTTGAGTTCTATAGATTTACCTAAATATCTAGTCAATTGACTCTCATAGACCCTTGGGATAGGATTTACAAATTCTAAAAGGGGAAGAGATCCTCAAATATGCAAATGGTCCCATTTAATGTGCTGAAGATAGGGCATTGTTTCCTGTTCTTGAAGAGCTCCAAAGTGATAAGGAAGGAAGAAGCCTCACCTAGGAGCTGAGAAAAGCAGTTCTAGCCCTGCTCTGTTAGCAACTCTCAGTGACCCTGGTTAAGGCAAGTCTTTCTTCTAAATCTCAACTACTTCACCTGTAAAATGACCCTAATAAAACCCCACAATTTTCCTCTTGCCTTATTATACCTACAGAGTCTGCTACATTTCTGGAAAGACAGTAAGGGCTCAGTGAGTGCTTGAGAAATTGACATAAGCCAATTCCAAATCTTTGCTATCCTTCAAGACCCTGTTCAACTTCTATCCCCTCCTGGAACTCCTCCACTTAGCACAGGGATAGTAAAAGAGTAGGCTTTCTATCAGCACCAGATTCAGAGTAAACCAATATCATCATCTGCTTTTAGGTTTTTGATGCCACCAACACTACCAGAGAACGTCGGTCACTGATTCTGCAGTTTGCTAAAGAACATGGTTACAAGGTACAGGGACATTTCCACTCTTTATTGCTTTTGTTTTATTTATTTATTTTTTATTGAGGTAACATTGGTTTATAACACGATATAAATGTCAGGTGTACATCATTATATTTCAACGTCTGCGCAGACTACATCATGTTTACCAAACCCAGAAACTAATTACAATCTGTCACCACACACATGTGCCGTTTTACTCCTTTAGCCCTCCCTCTTCCCCTTTCCTCTCTTGTAGCCACCAATCTAATCTCTATATCTATGTGTTTGCTTGTTGTTGTTGTTGCTGTTTTTATCTTCCACTTGTGATACTCTCACTCTTATCTAGAGTCTACTTATCGAGGGCAAACCCCAAAGAAAAGCAAATCAGGGGATGCCGAGATGCCAAATCAGTTACCCCAGGCTCGACATTTTAATTTGGTTGTATGGCTTTCCAGGTCACAGAAGCAGCAAAACTTCTAGAACAGGAAAAGAGAGGTGCCACATTAGGCAACAAAAGATGATTTATGACAGGTTGACACTGGGGAGGTGGGGCTGAGGAAAGAGGGGAGAGAATCACCACATAAGAACTGAAAACAAGTGAAAACACAAAACAACAATCTGGGGCCATTCAATGTAGAGCCAATATGCCTCATAAAACTCAGAATCCTGAAACACCGCTGTATGAAATTATGCTGTCAGAGATGCCTCTAGGGATGACTGAGAGCCATAGAGAAGGGGTCAAGCTGTGTTTGCCTCCTACCAAACAGAATTCCCTGCTGGAAATCTCTCTTCTGTTTCTCTTGTAGGTCTTTTTCATTGAGTCCATCTGTAATGACCCTGGCATCATTGCAGAAAACATCAGGGTAAGGAGCACCAGTTACCTTTCCTCCATACTTTGCCTCAGACTCAGACCATGCCTAAAAAGACATATATTAGGCTAAAGGAGGTATTCTTCCCCAAGCTTCTCCTTGCACTTCCTGTAGGAAGCATTCCCTGACCATCCTGGCATATAATGATCCTAAGAAATTAAATGAAGCCAATATAGAGAGAGTGCTTAATATGCACCAGGTACCAAGCTTGATTCTCACTGATTTTTCACAACAAACCTGTATGTTAGGTATCATTTCAGTCTTGGAGAGAGGAAACTGAGGTTCCAAGAGGAGAAGTGAGTTGTCAAGGGTTAATATAGCCGGAAAGAGGTAGACCTAAGACTGGACCTCAGGCTTAGCTGTCTGCCTGGAAAGCTCTTTATTCTGCCTCACAATTTGTATCAGAACTATCACTGCTCTTGTATTCTAGGCATGTGATCTAGAAGTAGATCACTCACCACATTTTATTGTTCCCTATTTCATCAAATTACTGGAGCTCAGGCACAGAAGAGACCTTAAAGGTCACCTCCTTCAACTCTCCATCAGATACTTGAAATCTCAGCTAAATATTTGTCTGCATTTTCTCTTCATACCTCCAGTGACAAGAGGCTTATTGCCTTCATCAAATGCAGCTCAATCAAGCTGAAATCCGTCCCCCTGAAGTTTCTGCTCATTGGTCCTCTTTTTTGCCTCTTGGGGCTTAGCACATGTCTAATCTCTCTCTTTCCTCCTCATCCATCCTTCTATCTATCCATTTATTGATTTGACAAAGATAGAATCTGTACACCTGGGCTGGGTATTAGAGACATAGAAACAGATAGAGAGTCCTCTTTTGAGCTCACAGTCTAGTAAGAGAGAGCGATAAGTTTATAGACATAACTCTGTGAGGTCAGCGCTGAGACAAGGGGAAAAAGGAGGCTGTGGGTGCATAGTATTGAGGACCTAACCTTGCATAGGAGGGGTAGGGGTGTATCAGGGAAGGCTTCTCAATGAAGGTAATAGCTGATCTGCACCTTGAAGAAGGCATAGGAATTCAGCAGGTGAAGAATTGGAAATAAGGGAATAGCATATACTAAGTTTGGCATCTCCAGAGAACTATAAGTAGCTAAGGTTGGCTAAAGCAAAGTGGAGGAATAGGGGAGCAATGGGAGATGAGGATAAAGAAATCATTTGGGGACCAATCATGAAAAACCATGAGTCACTCACTAAAATAGTTCATACTTTGTCCTAAAAAATATGAGGAAATTATGAAGGATTTTAAGCAAAAGAATGCCATGGTCAGATATGCATGCTAGAAATATCCTTCTGGCTGATTGTATGGGGAATATATAAGAAGTAACAAGACTGTATACAAAGTAATCAGTCACAAAGCTATAGTGAACATCCAGGCAAGAGAGAATGGAAGCCAACTGAGAGATATTTAGGAGATAGAGTGGAGAAGATTTGGCACCTGCTGAGAGGTGGGAGATGATAGAAAGAGACACATCTAGGATGACTCCCAGATTTATTTTAGGCTCAGGTGACTGAGTGGATGATAATACCATTCACTGAGATGCAGAATGTAGACGGAGAAGGTATATGTTGGGGAATTAGAAGATGTCAGTCCTTTAGCAATCTAAAGCCAAGATGCCATGTTCTCCCTGTAAACACTTGATACATGTAAGCCATTATGACCCCTGGCCAAGATCTCCTGATCCTCTTCTTTAATCATTTTTCACATCACAATTTCTAGTCCTCTTATAAATGTTCCTCTTAAACAGTGTATGCTCTACAACTGAATATAATATAATAGACTTTGTTTGACCACATACAGATAAGGAATAAGGAGTCACACAGTCCAGATTCTCTTCACTTAACTGATTTCGTAAACTTGGGCAAGACCCTTTCTCCAAGTCGCATCTTTATTATGAAGGATATTGTACTCAATGATCTCTAAGGGCTCTTCCCAAGGGCACTGTCAGAGTGTTTGTCTCCCATGGTCCCCCTGTCTTTACTTCTCCCAGCAAGTGAAACTCGGCAGCCCTGATTACATAGACTGTGACCGGGAAAAAGTTCTGGAAGATTTTCTGAAGAGAATTGAGTGCTATAAGGTCAACTACCAACCCTTGGATGATGAACTGGACAGGTAAGAGCCCAAAACCCCAAAGTCCAGGTCTGGATTCTTAGCCCTGTTTTGATGTCCTGTAGGACCTCGGGAAATGTCCTTCCTCTCTGGGCCTCAACTTCTCTATCTGTAACATCTGTGAGCTGGACTTGATGATCTGTCTTCAAGGACCCTTCCCAGCTCTAATTATCCATGAGGTGGTGATTCCTTGATGTGTAAGGTGTTTACGAGAGGATTGAGGTAGTGCTTTCCTGAGCAATATGGACAGATCAGGACCCTGATCTCTGGGAACAAATGCCTCCTTCCTGTGGTTGTTGCTATTATTTTCCCAAAAGTATTCTTCACACATGTATGACACTTCAGTTTCCAAACATGTTCATCTTCTTTGTTTCATTGAATGCCCTCAGCACCCCTGTGAAGGAGGCCAAAGTAAGTCTTATGATCATATATTTTCAAGAAGAGGAAATTGAGTCTTAGAGAGATGAAACCACTTGTCCAAGCTCCCACCACAAGTCAAGGTTAGAGCTAGGATTTTAACCACATATTCTGTCTCCTAGTGATGTCTCCTTTCACAATGCCCAGGCATCTCTTCAATCAATAAGTATACGGAGTTTTTGGGCTGTGATGTACACAGTGGGTGCAAAATAAGGGCAAGAGAGGTGGGTTCTTTCCTCAGGTAGCTTCCATAATGCCTTGACATAGGGGAAGACATATGAAAAATATGAAACTTTCATTCATAATACAAGCTAAAGCTTAAAGAGGTGTTAGCTGGCACTACAGGGAAGATGTGAGTTTTAGACATAGGGTGTTCCCAGAACCCCACTTTCTTTAAAAATGGGTTGTGATGAGAAGAGATCCTGGTCACTCAGACCCTTTGGGTCCCAAGTGAGAAATATAAGACCTCAAGTAGTCATTACCACCCAAAGAAGTCTAAAGAACATTCTTCCAGCTTTGTCCAACTGAAGTCCTAAGAGGTGAGAATTGTCACTGCCTCACACCTTAGATGGGGAAACAGACCTAGAGCAGGGAAAGGGCTTACCTGAGGCCACGCAAGTCAGTAGCAGAATTCAAACCCTTATTTTCAAACTTCCAGCCTGCTTCTCCCCCTCCCACATCCCTATATCATAAAAAGTGTCATATGAGGCTTAGACACTCAGTGCAAAAGGGGCAGGACTTTACATACAATTGTGAAGATTGTTCACTGTGCAATGACAACCATGTGAAGGGTACACTAATTTTTCTCATCAAAGCATGTGTTCTGGAGTAAGACTGTGTCTACCTTGAGGAAAGTGTAACTTTTTCAAATTTCCACAAAGGCACCATATGGACTAGCCATATATGGTGAAAGAAGTTTGAAGGAGGGAAGCTGAAGTAAAAGAACAGCATTGAGAAAGCCCCCAGCCTTCAGTCTAGACTCCTGCAGGTGCTCAATTAGTGTTTGATGAATCAATTTGGCCCTGAAGACAACTGATTCTGAAGGTTGGCTTTATTTAATCACTTTTTCATCAACAGACGTTAACAGTCCATACATCGGGGCCCAGCCCTAAGCTGTGCCCTAGGAACCCAAACAGGCAAGGGCTGTTCCTGCTCTGATAGAATACTCACTTGGTTGAGGAAGACAGTGAGTATGCAGTTGATCATAATTGTGGGGATGGTAAACCAAGTGGGCTGGAGGAACACAGAGGAGGGAACCCAGCCCAGCTTGGAGGAAGAGGTCTGGAAGAGCAGATTTACCCAGTAGGTAGACTAGACATGTGTTCAGTGTACCAGCAAGTAGAGGCTACCAAAAATAAGAAGAAAATAATCTTGGAAGCTTTTAATATTTTGTATTTCAAAAACAGGATTAAGAAGTCAAAATTTAAAAAAATAAAATCATGGGGCCGGCCCTGTGGCCGAGTGGTTAAGTTCATGCACTCCGCTTTGGCGGCCCAGGGTTTCACTGGTTTGGATCCTGGACATGGACATGGCACCGCTTGTTGGGCCATGCTGTGGCAGCATCCCACATGCCACAACTAGAGGGGCCCACAACTAAAAATACACAACTATGTATCAGGGGGCTTTGGGGAGAAAAAAGGAAAAATAAAATCTTAAAAAAAAAATAAAATCAGAACCTGGTAAAACCTCCTCATATTATAATATAGTTTATAATTTTTATTTTGAATTCCACTTGGTGGGGGGCGGGCATTAGCTACTATAATACTGGTGGCACAAAACACCTCTAAATGACTTCATATGATTCTGGGCTCAAAGAAGACTTCCTAGAGAGAGTGAATGTACTGCCTCTTGAAGGATGGATGCATAGGAGCTCAACTTTGGAAATCAGACAAGGAACGTCTTTTCAAGCAAAGAGAACAGCACTTTGTAATGGCCTAGTTAAATTTGAATAAAAGTAGAAGAGTACAGAGAATATTCCAGCAAAAGCATGAAGGCTAGAACGAAACAGAGAAGTTATGAGCATAGGCATGGGACAGTAAGACGAGGCCAAGTGGGTCAGTGTGTGAAGACACCTAGAATGTCAGACTAAACTGAGGAATTTGGAAGTTCTCCTAGAGCCACCCAGGACCTAGTGTCAGGAACAGACAGTAACCAGGAAACAAGGCTACCTCAGATATTTTCTACCCCTAGGGTCTGAGAATCCTACACAAGATGGTTGGAGAGGATGACCTTAGGCAAATCACTTCCTCTCACTGTTTCAGTTTTCTCACCTGTAAAAGAGAGAGAATGATCTCTGCTTCCTAGGATAGTTATGAGGATTCATGTACTTTAAAGTCCCCACTTGTCGCCATCTGCACAAATAATGCTCAGCAAGTGCAAGTGCCGTATGGGAACCATTAGACATGGATGACAGGGCTGGGAATGATAAGTATGGTGCAGATAGAAAGGCTTTCTCTAGTAAGGGCAGAGGAGAGGCTTTCTGAAACCAAACCCATCAACCACTGCCTTACCTGCCTTGGGTTAGTGCAGCTGTTTCCATTCACTTGGTTTTGTTACTGTGCACCCAGGGTTGCTGATGTGTCACCCCATCGCCCCAGACTTCCCCTCCTCTTCCCAGGGATTACCCTGATCTCCCTACAATCCAACAACTAAAGGATTAATGCCTGACATAGCAGGACCTCGGAAGTCTTGCTCCATGGTTCTAGTCTTCTGATTAGTCAGTGTCCCCCATTCCCAGCTCCTTTGCAGACGTGTTGTTGAATAAGTTTGATTATCACTCTGTGTATAGTTATTAGTTCATGATAGAGCACAGAATTGAGGGGATAACATAGAGGCTTGAAGCAAGAACCACAAGTTCCCCAATGATGCTGTGGACCACCTCTGTATCCCCATACCCCTGTACTTGGCACATCTTAGATTGAGTGACTATTTGCGGAGTGGGTGTTGAGCATTGATAATGTGTTTCTAAGTATATGTTTTTGACTGGTCTAAGAGCTCCCAAAGGGCAGATGCTGAGTTCCCACCCAAAGCACAATACTTAGAATAGAGAAGCATGTATTTTTTGACTGCATGGCAGATAGGGAAAGAACCTAACCCACTCTCCTTTCTGAGTGAGAAGAGAGACGTACAAACACAAGCGCACACAATCTGGTAGCTGCCTGTGGAGTGTCAAGCACAATATATCATAGCAGAGGCTCAAAGAACACAGGGGTAGGCTTGAGATTTGAAAGGGTGAGGAAGTGGACAAGTCAGAAGCTGCCAGTGAGATGTTGGAGGAAGCCAGGGACACAGAGGATTACTGCTTCTCTGAGTATGTCAGGAGTGTGAACCACAAAGGAGAGAACCCCTGATGCCTGGAGTGTCATAAGTGAAGATGAAAAGACAGTCTGGCTCAAGCTGAGATTGAGCAATGGAGAGAGAGGGAGACGGTAGCAGGCAGTGAGCTCCTCAGGGTGGCCAGGAACCAAGTCTCTAGAACTTCTTTTAGGTTTTAGAAGGTTCTCTAGTCTTCTAGGTATCTAGAACAGAGAAAGCCCTGGTATCTTGTTAGAGGGAAGGTAGGTGAGGGCTGGACTGTGGAGGAGGTTTGAAAGCAGGGGGTGTGGTTGGGGCATTCTCTTGGGATTAGCCTCTCCACCTTTAGCCCCTGAGCTGCCCTTGCTCCTGCTTGGGCCGGCCCAGCCACCTATCCTACATCAAGATCTTCGACGTGGGCACACGCTACATGGTGAATCGAGTGCAGGACCACATCCAGAGTCGCACAGTCTACTATCTCATGAACATCCACGTCACACCCCGCTCCATCTACCTATGCCGGCACGGTGAGAGTGAACTCAACCTCAGAGGCCGCATTGGAGGTGACTCTGGCCTCTCAGCTCGAGGCAAGCAGGTAGGGAGGGTCCCATGTACCCAGAGGTGTTGGTGGAGCTGGCCCAGGTGGGCCGCAGTTGGCTGGGTGGCCACTGCATGGGCCCTGCGGATGGGGGGACTCACCAAAAGGGTAAGAGCAGGTTCTGGTCACGCCTGCTCTTCCACCCCATCAGCCACTCAGTCTTAGCCTGTCCTTGAATGGCTCCCGTGTGCCAACAGCATCTCCAAGTCTGATAACTTGGTCCTGGCACTCCAGGCCTGCCCAGATCTGGCTGCCCCTTCAGCTGCATTATAGTGAGCACCCTTCGCCCGTGCCTGACTGGTCCCCTCATCTTTCTCACAACTCTGTGCCTTTGCTTGCGCAGTTTCCCGCACCTAGGCTGGCATCCTCTGTCAGCTGGTGGGCAACACTTGCACAGACAGCTGCCCTGAGGCGCCCCACCCTTGAATCCACCATTTCCTCCCTTACTCAGGGCTGATGCTACACCCCCCAACCCCGACTGCAGGTCATCATGGTGTCAGCACTCGTCCCCCAGCAGTTGCAGCTTCTTTCCTGCCCCCCTCCCCACACCTTTCAGGGGCCCAGCTCCTCCTGCTCCACGGTCTGGTCCAGGAAGCCTTCCCCTGTCCTCTCCTGCCCTCCCAGGCAGGTCATCATACCCTGGGCTCCATCTCTCCCAGTTCTGGTCCCTCTCTGACTCTATGGCATGGGTCTCTTCTCTTCAGCCAAACATAGTAACCTGCACATTGTGGGTCCTGGCTAAACAAAGGGACACATTTTCCCCTGTGTTTGGCCCTGTGCCTGGGCTTGTTAGTACAGGTATTGTTCTTTCTGGGAGGATGGCTTGCAGTGAGACAAGTGGGAAATGGGGTGCAGGTGGGAAGGAGCACCCTCATTTATTGGACATCTGTGCACAGTCATGGCACCATCTGCTTCCACATGTGTGCCTCATTTAATCTTCACAATAGCTCTGAGGGGTGGGTATTACCGTCACCAATTTATGGATGGGGAAGCTGAGGCCAAGACAGGAGGAGAGGGTGGCCCCAGGTCACACAGCCGGTAAAGGACAGAGCCAGGACTGAAAACCAGGCCTTCTTGATGCCCCTCAGCATCCCCCACTGCGGAGGTGGTGGAGTTCCAGGCAAGGCAGCCCGCTGGAAGGCCCGGTTCTTGTGGCTCCCTTTCTGTTACCTTCAGACTGGCAGCCTACTCTCGGGGTGGACTCTGACCTCTGACTTCCACTTCTCTTGCTCCTCAGAGCAGGGTCAGAGGCCGCTGGAGGTGTGACCCCCTCCCCATGGCACCACCTGCAGCCAGGGGTCTCCCCGTTGGGGCTGGTCACAGCCCTGCCCGCACAGCTCAGTGGCCAGTTTGAAAATGTGGCCATCTCCACATGGCAGGCCTCCCTTGCACACAAATGTGCACATTTACACACTCATGCCTGGCCCCAACCTTCACACTCATGAGCACAGTGCAACACGCATGGTTTACAAAGCACTTTCCCACCGACTGTAACCCACAGTCAATCAAAATAGCTCTCACCTACTTTGTGCCAGGGAGCACTCTGAGTGCTCTCCATCCGCTATCTAATGTGACATTCACAGAGACCAGGCTGGGTGAGCTAATGCTGTTTGCATCTTACAGGCAGGAGATGGGGCCAGAGAGGGGCAAGGGCTTGTCCCGGGATACACAGGGACCATGTAAAGGAGCTGGGGCAGTTTAACCCCTCTTGCCTACCTCTTAGTCAAGGGCTCCTTCCACCAGAGCACTTGCGCTCATCATAACTGGTGCTCACACTGACTGCTGACTCATAATCCATAATTAGAATGTGTGTATGAAATGTCTGTGTTTGTACATAAAATAGTGTGCCTGTATCTACACATTTGTGCAGATATTCCTCACACACCATCTGTGGTAAATAACATGGCTCTATGTAGAAGAAGAGCAAATCACTTGCTCATCCTCCAGCCTTTTCTGGCTCCTCTTAGCACTGTCATTGTTTCCCTCACTGGGCTGGCTGTGTCTTGAGAACAGGCCACCTCGGTATCCAGCATATGACCATACACACTCTGTACATTTTTGAATGCCCTTAGAACCTGGGTACCAGGACCCCTGCTCAAGCAATGAGAATTCATAGGGTCAAAGAGAAATGTCCCCCAAATCCCACCCCCTCACTTCTAGATCACACTCTCAATACTCAGAACCCTAGGGTTCCCTGCCCTTGTGACCTGGAGTCTGCTTCCAGTGTCTCTATGGGCTTATCCCCAGAGTCTGTCCACCTGAGAGCAGGCCACATCACAGGGGTTCACCCCTAGAAGAAAGGGTGGCCAAGAGGTCACTGTTTGTGGATCATGGGGCTCTGTAGAGATATGGTATGGACAGAACTTAGTCATGTGATTACATTATCCACAACCATGTACTCAAGGCACCTCGGAGTGCAGGATGGGGGCAGAAAAGGGAAGAGAATGGAGGTGGACTATGGGTGGAGTGCCTCCGTTTGTACTCTTGTCCCAAGCTCCATAATGTTAGAGGTGGGCTGTTTGAATGAATGAATAACCAAATAAGAGGTTCAGTGAGCAAGCAATAATATACACACACACACACAGGGGCAAACATATACACATATAAACACACATACTCTTTTCTATTACCTTGATCTTTAGTCAGATGGGCAAGAGTATGACTTTTCATAAATTGGAAACATTTAAACCCTGCACTCTTGTTTGTTCATCATCGTTCCACCATTTGTAGCAGATCTGAGCTTGTTCTCATGGCCACCCTGTCTTGTTTTATCTCTCTTTCTCCCCTCCTCTCCTCCTTTGCACTCCTACTCTCCAGTATGCCTATGCCCTGGCCAATTTCATTCAGTCCCAGGGCATCAGCTCTCTGAAGGTGTGGACCAGCCACATGAAGAGGACTATCCAGACAGCTGAGGCCTTGGGTGTCCCCTATGAGCAGTGGAAGGCCCTGAATGAGATTGATGCGGTGAGATGGAGGGGGATGGATTTCCTGGTGGGTGGTGGGACTTGACCCTGGGCTTGTTGTCTTGCTTGCCTCTGCTCTGGTTCCTATGGGGAACCTAATCAATTCAACAAACATTTCTCAACAACCAGCTCTGTACCAGATACTATTCTGTGGCTTTGGGATCTAGTGAAGGCCAGAACAGACAAGGTCTCTGCCCTCATGGAACCCAAAGGCAGACAGTAAATGAGACATTGCATCTCATGTGACAAAGTGTTGTGATGGGGAAAGTACAAGGGACTATAGAGGCTCAGAAGGTGAGGGTGCTCCTGGCAAGACTTTGTGGTGGGAGATTTATCTGGAAAGTTTTCTGGATGAAGCTGGAGATTAGATAAGAAGCAGGCAAAATGGACTTGAAGTGAGGGAATAAATTTAGTTCCAAGAACAGGGAAAAGCTCATACGAAGGCCCAGAGGTAACAAGAGAGCATGGCATGTTCAGGGAACTGAGGCAAGAGTAGCAGACAGGCTGAGACAGTGATTGTGAGGTCTAGAGAAAAGGGAGATGAGGTTGGAAAGGAAGGCAGCTCATAGGACTTTATAGTTCATGTTGAAGGATTTGGATGCTGCCTTAAAAATCAGAAGCCACTGGGGCTGGCCCCATGGCTGAGTGGTTAAGTTTGCATGCTCCGCTTCGGCGGCCCAGGGTTTCGCTGCTTTGGATCCTGGGCACAGACATGGCACTGCTCGTCTGGCCACTTTGAGGCGGTGTCCCACATGCTACAATTAGAAGGACCCACAACTAAAATATACAACTAAGTACTGGGGGGGACTTGGGGAGAAAAAGCAGAAAAAAAAAAGATTGGCAACAGTTGTTAGCTCAGGTGCCAATCTTAAAAAAAAAATCAGAAGCCACTGATGTGGTCTAAGTTAAGAAGGAGTGGCCTGAATGTGATTGACATTTATTTTTTAAAGATTTAAAGTGGGACACTGCTTGATGAGTGGTGCTAGGTCCGCGCCCAGGATCCAAACCGGCAAAACACTGGGCCACCAAAGCAGAGCACACGAACTTAACCACTTGGCCACGGGCCCGCCCCCCCCACACACTTTTTTTTAAAAAAGACCATTCTGGCCATGTGTGAAGACTAGGTGGGAAGAGGGTCATAATGGGCATGTAGACCAGTGTGGAGATGGCTGCCTTAGTCCAAGCAGGATGTGAGGGTGTGATGGACCAGAGCAGTAACATTGGAGATGGAACAAAGAAGGACTTGGAGAATATTTCATCTGTCCCTCATGACATGGTGGTCTCTTTTCAGGATCAGGTTTTCCCATGAGTTCTTTGAGAAGGCATTGTTTCCTCTCCATTGTCTCATCTGCACTATAGGTACGCTGACATCAGTAGCAGCCCACAGGTTGTGATTGTTAGACTCCAAAGTAAAAGCTTCACCACAGGTGTAGATAACTTGCGTATAGGTAGGTTAACTTGCTTGCTAGATATACTTCTATAAATACAGAGAAGTATGTGTGTGTGTACATACATACATATGTACTTAACTACCTTTTTAGAAAAGGGATATACAGCATTGTTCTACATGTCACATATATATTTCCTATAAAATACATGCAAGCAAATATGTAAACTCTTCATCATAAGAGTTCAGTTACTGTTTTTTTCTGGCCCACATGTGGTTTAAACATTTATTGGTTACCTACTTTGTTCAGGCTCTGGGGTGGTGCTAGAGATGGAGATTGGTTCCCGTCTTCAGTGAATTTTCAGGCTAACCAGCATAAAGGAATACAAAACAGCGTGTGCGACACAGGCTCTGATAGGCTAGACTGTGCACACACAGATGTTGATGCAGGGCATCTGACACAGCCATGATCTGCCAGAAGGAAATGATGCCTAGCTGAAGCCTAAGGGTTGAGGAACAGTGAGCCAGGTAGAGAGGATCAGAAATGGTATGTCAGGCTGAGAGGGCAGCATAAGCAAAGAGAGTATTGTATGTTTGTAGAACTGCTAAGGTTGTAGCAGTGGACATGGAGAGGGAGGAAAAAGGAATCAATTTGAGAGAAATTTAGGAGGTGGAATCTCAGGAATCAGCTATGAGGGGGTAGATGAGGAAGAAGCAAGAATTTAGAGTGATGCCTAAGTTTCTGGTTTATTTTTCATGATCAATAATATACTAATAATTAGGTCCATTGACTAAGTCTTTAAAAGGTGCCTTGTACATCCTGTACTAGTTTGTTCTACATATATTATCTCTAATATTAAAAACACTCTTATGAGGTAGTTTGTAATTTTGTGAGGTAGTTGTGATTCTCCTCATTTTGCAGATGAGGAAAATAAAATTCAAAGAAGTTAGGCAATTCGCCTTAAGTCAGTAAGGAGTCAGTAGCCATTTCCACAGACAACAGGCCCCCAGAATGCCTCAGAATAGAAAGTCAAAGCCAATCTGGAAAGAACTTATGTATCCAGTAGGATGCACTTTCTCCCATGGGCAGCGTCAGTTGGAGATGTTTGACACTGCAGAGCTGTTTTGGGGCTGGGGCAATGGTGAACCTCACCCCTAAGGGAAGCCTGGTAGATGGCTCAAAAGACAACAACCAGAGCCTGCTGCTCCCCGTAAAGGAACGTCTAATTGGAATCCACACAACCAGAAGGAAGTTGTATAAACACAACATCACATCTCATCCCTGCCAGCAGCCACCTCACTTATGGGGATTTCTCAGTGGACATGGGAAGCTCTCATGTCCTCCCGAGGAACTCATTCTCTGAGCCCTCAATTCCTTCTTTAGGTGAAAAGAGTGTAGCTCACAAAGGCCCACTCTGAAACCGTTAGGAATTTACTAATTCTTGCCTTCTGAGATGTTTGTGGATACCTGTTTCTTTATCTGCCAGGGGTCCTGGAGCAAAGCAGGGGCAGAAGGGTTGGAAAATGATATAAAATGGGACAGCACTGCCGAGGATGTGCACACACATATGCACTTGCATACACAGTCACAGACACCCACTACAAGTATGCTTACACTCGCAGACTTCATGGACACATGGACCCACTAGTCAGACACAGGCTCCCTCTCAAACACATCTACCAATCACATCCACATGATACACACATACACACTTACAGACAGACAGACCAGAGATACATAAGGACACACTCACCATAGACACACATGCAGTTTTTGCATATATCTACATCACATGGACACAGAGAGGAATACCACGGACATGCATGCAGACACATAGCCCTAAGCATATTACCACAAATTCACACAGACCTCAGACATAGGCACACAGATACTCACATATACACTAGAGACATAGTCAGGAATATGCACACCCACAGATAGACATGCCACAGACACACTGAGACCCACATGGAGAGACAAACCACAGAGATACCCGCATGGGCACATCCTCAGATGCTCAGACACCCTGTACACACACACTCACACAAACACACTACATATGCCTAGACAAATACACAAATACAAGGCACAGATCTTTAAACATACCATAGGTACACATCTTATGATGTGTACCCACATACATGCAAACACAGTCACAAACCCTTAAACCCACATATTTATAAAAATACTTATATGTACAATGTACATCTACAAACCTATTGGGATAATCATAGAGAAACACCACAGATACCCACTATACATTCAGCTTGAACACGCCTGTACACATTCACTCACTCTCACATACACACAGTCACACGCTTCATGCACACAAACACATACAGACTCAGACAACAGGCATAAACCTAGGGCTGTGTTCACAGGAAACCAGGTGCTCATGTGCTACTGTTCCACAATCATTGGCCTCAGAACTATGATAACTTTTGTTCCCAAATGATTTTCTCAGGGTGTCTGTGAGGAAATGACCTATGAAGAAATTCAGGAACACTATCCTGAAGAATTTGCACTACGAGACCAAGATAAATATCGCTACCGCTATCCCAAGGGAGAGGTAAGGTTTGGAGGGGTGGCCCGCCTCCTAAGACTCCTCCCCAGTATCTCCATTCCAATCTCCAGGATTCCATAGTTTCCTAGACAGCTTTAGAAACAGGGTAAAGCATATTTTGCAGCAGCTGCCATCCCACAAGGAACATGATTATCTGGCCCTTGGCTGTCTCAGATTCATGGCTATAAGCAACAGATTCCTCTTTTTTTAAAAGATGCATACTTGCATGCTTGTTTCCTTTGTTTCCAGAAGGGCTTACTTTATTCTAGACTTTGTCTCTGGTATCCTCTCACTAAAGGCACTTAAAATAGTTCAACATACTCAAATTTCCTGATGTTTTATTTCCAAATTGTCTAAAGCTCCAGCCTCTCTGGGCAGTACGTTGGAGTTCCAAGCCTCAATGACTAATAGTTTAACCAACTTCTTCGCCACCACATGAACAAGGCCATCAGTTCCCTATCCCCATATGAAGTGAAGCCTCATTGCTTTCAACCCAACCTCTATTTAGTCAGTTCCACATTTTAGAGTATTTATTAGTCACGCTCCATTTCTGATACAAATTCCTGGGAATAATTGACAGAAAAGCAGGACATCAAGGAAGATAAAACAACAGCTATCTTGTGTTACAAAGCACTTTCACATTTTTGTCTTCATCCTCAGAATGACATTATAAAGTCAGTCTGAATTTGCTTTCATTTTCCTTTGTATATTTTGAGGCTATGTTATTAGAGAGATACAAATTTAAAGCAATTATATCTTCTTAGTGAATTGTATATTTTGTTATTACGTAGTGAGCAAACCTCTTTTCCCCTAATACTGCTTTTGCCCAAACGTGTACTTTTTCTTATATTAATATAGCTATACAAGATTTCTTCTGGTTAGTATTTGCCTAGTTCATCTTTATCTGCCCATTTACATTCAACTGCTCTGTGTATTTTTGTTTTGTGTCTCTTGTAAACAGCCTATAGTTGGCTTTTGTTGTTTTCAATACAAACTGAAAATATATGTCCTTTGAATGGGTAAACTTGATATATTTATTGTAATTGCTGATTTATTTGAGCTTATTTCTTTTCTCTTGTTTTGAGCTCTCTATGCCTAATTTCTTTTTCTCTTTTCCTTCCTTCTTTATAATTTATAGAGTTTGACATCTATATTTGAGCTATATACTCTGTTTCTTTTTTAGAGGTTACTCTTAACATTTTAATATGCATGATTAACAAAATCTAAAATCAATATCTCTACCCTCACCCTAAAACAATTTAAGAACTTTAAAACTCTGGTCATTTTCCCCTTACATGTTGATTGTTGTTTTATATTTTAGTTCAACCTTGTGTTTTAATCCCCAAATACATTTTTATTGCTATTATTAAACTTATTATTGTATACACTCAGTGTTTATTTAGATTTAACCATATCTTTGCCAATTCCTTTGATCATTCTTTCTCCTTGTATCTCAGGTTTTCCTTCTGAGTTCAATTTCCATCTTCCTTTACAAGTTTCTTTAGTGAGGATCTGTTGGTAGTAAACTCACCTTTCTTTTTGTCTAAAAATTTCTTGAGGGGGCTCAGTCCTAGATGATACTTGGCTTGGTATAAAACTCTAGGTTGACAGTTTTTTCTCTCAGCACTTTGAAGATATTACCCCCACTGTCTTCTGGCTTCTAATGTGGCTAAGTCTCCTGTCTAATTGCTGTTTCTTTTCTCTCTGACTGATTTTAAGGTCTTTGTATCTTTATTGCTTTTAAGGTCCACTCTGATACGTCTAAATATTAATTTCATTTCATTTGTCTTGACTGGGATTAGCTGGGTTTCCTGAATCTGAGGATTGGGACTCTTCATCAATTTTACAAAACTCTGAGACATTATATCTTTATTCTTCTCTCACATTCTGTCTGTTATCTTCTTCTGGAAATACAATTGGATGTGTTTTAATCCTGTCTCTATCCTTTATGTCTCCTAACTTCTTCTTATTTTCAATCTCTTTGCTGCATTCTGAGTAATTTCTTCGGCTCTATCTTCCAAATTGCTATTTCTTAAATTGTATCTAATCTGCTATTTATTCTGTCCATTGGGTTTTCAATTTTAATGAATATATTTTTTTGTTTCTAGAAAATTTTAGTTCTTTTTCAAATCTACATCATATATTTGATAGCATCTTGTCTCTTCATTACATTTTTTATTCCATGCTTTATTTCTTTAAAAATTTCAAATATGTTTATTTTATATTGTGGATCCTTTATTTTAAGTTTTTAGGATTCTCCTCTTGTTGTTTCTGCTTATTTTCACTCATGGTAGTTTATTTTCCTTGCATGTTATGTGAGCTTCAGTGTGGCAAAAATTTATCTGTGAGAATTCCATGTAGCCTGAGTTGAGAGAATTTCTATTTGCTTCTTCCAGACACTACTGGGAACTAATGACTTGAAATCAATTTTTATTAAACTCTCAGGCTTGTAGTTATACATTCTTACAGGAGGCTTTTCCTATTTTTTTTCCACCAAGAGTCAAGCAGAGACAGATACATGTTCTTATTATTTCCCTTTGCCTGTGGATATGCTTTTTTCTAACTTACACTTTTACTGATGATGTAACCCTTTGATGATCTCAGATTTATGTGAGACTCTCAGTCTCAACTCGCTACTTTGTACACACCTAAAGCCTTGTCTCCTGTCTCTATAAGGTTTCAAAAACTCAAGCCTCTTGGATACTGTGATTGGCAAATGTCCTCAGGGAAGTTGTGGCTTCTACATCCACAGATTACTCTTTTTTTCCAAGTTGTTCTCCATTTTGGAACCTTATATTTATAATGTTCCATTCATCTTCTTGAAAGGTCAGCAGTACAGACACTTATTTTATATACCTTTTCTAGGAATTTTTTTTAGTGGGAAGTTTTATTATTGCTGTTGTTATCTAGTCCACTATATTGATTGACCCCATTTAATAGATGAGAAACTAAGACCCAAAGAAGAAAGTGTGTTGCCCAAGGTCATACTTCTGAGTCAACAACTGAACTGGCGCCAGAATGAAATTTTCCTGATTCCCAGCCTAGAATTCTCCTCTGGGCAAATGTGCCTCATCTCCCTTTCTTACCCAAGCATTTCTCTCACTTTTAGTCCTATGAGGATCTGGTTCAGCGTCTGGAGCCAGTTATAATGGAGCTAGAACGGCAGGAAAATGTACTGGTGATCTGCCACCAGGCTGTCATGCGGTGCCTCCTGGCCTACTTCCTGGATAAGAGTTCAGGTACCACTCTCCTCTCTGTTCCTGTTGTGGGGCGCTGGATGTGATTTAAGATCTTGACACAAGCAATTGGTGGTCTATATCTTAGTAGCTGAGAGCACAGTATCTAGAACAAGGATTCCTGAGTTCCAGTTCTTGCTCTGTCACATACTAGCTTTGGGAAATTGCTTTAACCTCTCTGGCCTCAGTTTCCTCATCTGTAAAATGGGGAGAATAGTGCTAAAGTTTAAATTCAACATGTGTAAAGAGCTTAGAACAGTTCAGCACACATAGTATGGGCTATATAAGTGTTAGCCACTGTTATTAGTATTAGTATTTATTCTGAGCTAATGTTTACAAAGCCGACCTTAACAGTCTGCCTCAACCTGAAAAAGCTGAGCCAGTATTTCTCCGAAGCGTGCAGTCACCAGATGGTAATGGGACCTTTCATGGCCTCGTGATCCTAATTATAGATTTCTGTCTTTGCTGTAGGGATTATTTCCCCAAGATAGTGATGTTTCCATTTAAAATTTTTTAAATGGTAATTTCTTTTTGTAAAAAAATCTTGATGTAATTTACAGAGTATCTATATACTGACTACATATGCTGAACCACATACTAGGGCAGGTGGCCTGGCAAGGGACTGCTGTGTCACCTTGAGGTGCGAGAGTCCATTTCTGATGTGGACGCTGAAGCGTTGGCGTCTCCGGGAGACTGTGAGGGTGTGTGAGGACAGTGCGAAGTCATATGTGAAGGGGACAATGTCCTGCAGACTTGGATCTGTTGTACAATGCTGGTTTCAAAAAAGAAAAAAGAGCACTTGTAACATGGACTCATCCAGATTTGGGACCCAGGGAACTCGAGACCTTGACGTTGGACAAGTCATTCCCTCTGCCTGGTCCTGAGCCTCCTCACTGCGAAAAGGTGCTGGGGGTTGGGCTGGGGTCCTCGCTGCATTTCTGATACCGTCCGCGTCTCTACTGCACGATGCTGTCTTTCTTGAAACTGCGAGGTGGGCCCTGTAACCCCAACTGAGCAGATGAGGAAATGGAGGCTCTCAGAGGTGAAGCGACCTCCCCAAGGTCACGGGGCTCAGAGGGGCAGTGAGAGGCGTTGATCTCAGGTGCATTTCAGAGGCCCTCCCCTCTCAGACACACCTGGGCTGCGTGGGGGGCACATGCACCTCCCGTTTGCACACTGCTTTACCCACGTCTTACCCGCTTTCATGCACAGGCCACTCCAGCTGCTCACAGCTGCCCGGGGAACAGGGCCAGGCAGGGCTGGGCATTTGCTCCTACTCCTGTTACTCGGGTGAGGAAACTGAGGCCCAGAGAGATGATGTGACTAAGAATACCGACCCACAGGGCCCCCTCCGAGTACATCTAGTCCAATCCTGTGCTGCGAGAGATGGGAGCACTGAGGGCCAGAGAGTAAAAGGCGGGGCCTAGGTCACTTGTCCAGGTGGTGGCAGAGCTGGGCCAGAGACCTCAGGCGAGTCGCTTCCCTTCTCTGAGTGTTCCATCACATGTGCAGTGAGCAGCAGTAACCCCCGCAGGGTATCGGTGAGGATGGAAGGAAACGGTGCACCAAGAGCGCCAGGCCCAGGACCTGACCACAATGATGACAAAGACGAGGAGGAGGAGCAGGAGGGATGCCCAGGATACCGCCAAACCTGATGTCTCAGGAGCCTGGGAGAGTGGTGGCAGGTCCTAAAAGCCTAGGATAAGCCTCAGGGGCAGCGAAGCCGTGAGGGGTGGGGTTCTGGCTCAATGAGGGGAGATGAGGAGCTGTAGGGGCAGACTGGGTGGGCAGGAGGGTGGGCTTCTGCAGAGAGGGGTGAGAGGTGGGTGTGTCGCCCCCACGACACCGTGAGGCCCTCGAAGGCAGTGGCAGCTGACTGCAGTGGGCAGAGCACACGTTTGACCTCAAAGGGTCCTGGGCTCAAGGACCAGCGCAGCCACTTTCTGGTTGTGTGGCTTACAACAAGGGTCTTGGAGCCTCAGTGTCCTTATCCATGGTACAGGCCTCTGATAGGGTGCCACTCATCCCAGAGCTGTCTGGCTAATAACAACTAGGCCGGTACAAGAAATTGTACGTGAATATTTAGAACCACTTTATGAATAATAGTCAATAACTAGAAACAAGTGAATCGAGGAATGCTTGTCCATCAACAAGCGTGAGAGGAGTCAGAGAGTGCAGGCCTGGGCTGGGGAGAAAGCTGTGGGAGCTGCAAGGTGCAGGCACACCTCATCCAAGGGCCCTGGCGCATAGTAGGGTCTCAGAAAACACTTGCTGAAACGCAGTGTGGGCCTTTGTGGTCGGGGAGCCTGTGGAAGGCCCGAGGCTGGGGGCGGGAGGGAGGCCTGCCTCGGTGTCACGTCTGCCCTGTGAGTGAGGAGGCAGGCCGCCTCCTAGGTGACCAGACTAACCCCCTGGGGCACCCACAGTCTGCCTGCATTCCCCAGGGCCCTCCTCCCTCCCTGCTCCCAAGGCCGCCTCTCTGCTCTCTTCCTCCCTGCCCACCTTGCTCTCAGCACTGCCCCCTGCAGAGTGCGGGGGAGTGGGCCCCTGGTGAGGAAGACCATGGGGAAGGAGAGATGGGCGGGGAGAGTGCTGCAAGCCTGGAGGCCTGGGGAGGTGGTGCTCTCCCCAGCACCCTGTCTCTGAAGGCGGCTTTCTCCTCCTTTCCAGATGAGCTGCCATATCTCAAGTGCCCTCTGCACACAGTGCTCAAACTCACACCTGTGGCTTATGGTGAGTGCCCCCTCCCCCATCTGGGGAAAGGAACATAGAGGCCATGAGCAAGCCTCCAGTGCCTACCATTTGCCCAGCAAAGACCTGGGGGAGTTTCTCCGGGTACGTAATTGGGTGTCCTGGTAGAGGTGGAACTGGTGGTAGTAAGATGAGAATGGGGAAGGACGAGGATGACCTCTAAATCTGAAGCCTGGCCCCAACTTTCTTTGTCTCTACTAGAGCACTGAGCATAGAGTGGCAAGCTCTAGGAGGAGAGATCCCCAAAGGGGACCAGAGGAATAAGTGTAGGTTGGGGCCAAATTGAAGGAAGGGCTCAAAGACCAGCCTGGGCAGTTCAGACTCTCTCTTGGGCCATTGGTTCCTCAGAACTCCCTTGTGTCCTTCCACACCTCTGGTGTCGCCATTGTCCTCTAAATAAAGTTTACCTGGAACTGATCACCCTAAGGCAGTGGCCCCAGGACTCTTCCACCACTTCAGCACCTAACATAGCCCAGAGGATCCACAGCCTCCATCATTATTATATAGATTAGTTTGCTATCTCACAGACCACAAGACTTGGGCGAGGCCCCAGAGATCATCTCTTCTCATCTCCTTCCCATTCCCAACTGAGCAACTGAGGCTCAGAGAACTCAGACTGTTAGGGACAGAGCTGGCAGAACACCCCCTTGGCTCCCCTGAGACCTGGTGTCTACCCCACACATCACGCAGCTGGTCTAAATTCCCCTCCCTACAGGGAAGTCACAATCTGCACACAGTGTGGAGGGGGGTGTGGGTGGTGATGGGTGAGGGAGGAAATGACACCTCAGGGAAGACCTGGGCTTACCTTGGGGGCTTATGGATGGATGCGTTGTTCATTTCAAAGGCTGCAAAGTGGAGTCCATTTACCTGAACGTGGAGGCTGTAAACACACACCGGGAGAAGCCTGAGGTAGGTGAGGGACTCCGTGACCTAAGCTGGCACATGGTAAAAGCACCCTTCCCCACAGAAAGGCCGCTCCAGTCCCATAGAGCTTGGGTGTTGTGCACCAATAGGTAGAATAATCAGCACCCAGAAATGTGGAACTGGAGCCCAGACCCAAGCAAGGCACCATAGAGGTGCAGGGCTAGAGTAACCCCTGTTGAAAAGGCCTCAGACTGATTCCCCCGAGACTTGCCTGAGAAGCCGAGAGGGCAAGAGGCAGGGGAAGGGCTGGGGATCCACATTACTGCCTCCTTCCTATTAATCCTGGGCTTTCTCCTCTCAGAATGTGGACATCACCCGAGAACCTGAGGAAGCCCTGGACACTGTCCCTGACCACTACTGAGGCCTTTCCAAGAGTTAAACTGCCTCTCCTCACTGTCTTCTACCTTTAGGAGCTCCTATCCTTGCTCTTCTCCTACCCTGAGAAGACTCTAGACTTGGCCTCACTGGAAGAGCCCTGCTTCCAGTGAAGGGGCCCTCAGCAGCTCCAAAACAGGTTTCAATTTTTAGCTATAATCAAGGAGTGCAGTCTAGCTCTATATGAAAATTTTTCTTTCTTAATTCCTATTCTCTGATCAATAAAGACTTCTCTTACTGCCTACTTACTGATTCCTCCATTATCTCCCAATCCATCAGCACTCTTCCTCCTCATTGTTCTTCCATCCCTAGCCAGCTTGGATCCTATGTTCCATCTCTTTAGCCACTCTCCATACACCTACTATGAGCAGGTACCAGTGACCCAGTGGTGAAGAGACTCATACACTTACTATCTTTGTTCCTTTGTCCTTCCATCATAACCACTCAGCGAGACCCAAACCTTGTCTAATCCACATCACCTTTTTTGTTTGCATCTGCTACAGAGGTGCTGATCACTGCTTGAAGTAAATCTACATTTATCTGTTTCCACAGCCACCCTTAAATCCTGTTCAAAGTCAGGGTCACTCTGTATTCTCTGGCATCCATCCCGTCCCACCTTCTCAGGGATGGGCTACTTCAGTCAATTCCTGACTATTCCATATCTGTCTCCTGCCCTCTATTAGCTTTTGCCCCCACAGTCTATGCAACACGCTCAGGTTTCTCTCTTCTATCTCAAGAAAACTCCCTTGTTCCCATGTCTACCTCTAGTTACCTTCCTTTCTATCCTCCATTCTTACACAAACATCTCAAAATGAATCTATTCTTACTGTCCAGAACCCTCCCTCACCTTCTGTTCAAGGCGTTCCCCTTCTATATCTTTGCTCAAGCTATTACCCCTTGTCTGCCATGCTTTCCCCTGGTCTCTATCCTATTGAAGTCATACTTGCCTTTTTAGCCTCAGGCTTGAGCCCACCTTCTGTAAAAAGCTATGCTGATATCTAGCTCTTCTATGAACCCAAAATGTCACTCACAACAACCCAAGCACATTAAAAGACAGAAAAAAGCTCCAATTCATTTTGCAAATTTAATGTAACTCTGATACCAAAATACAACAGCACACAAAAAGCAAACAATAAAGCAGGATTGGCAAACAGATTTTTCATAGCATGTCAATCTCAGCTGGTAGTATCTGCTTAGACTGCTGCATAGATAAAGATTCCAGGGATGTACCTTGGCTCCATGGAAAGGACTGCTGTAATTTATTAGCGGTATCTGTAAACATGGGTAATAAGCCTGAAAAAAACCCACCAAACAGTAACACATTTTGGCACCAAATATACTATTTTCTCATACTTCCTTCATTGTCCTCATTTCCCCACCTTGCCCTCCTGCCTTGGGGTTTCTTTAACATCTCCCAGATCTTATACCCATCCCCATGGGCCCTGGCTGTGGAAATGCTGTAATTATCTAAAACCTCACTAGCCATAGGAGAAGCTACAGGCACCAAGGCTGGTGGCTCCACCACGAAAGCCAGCACCGTTGCTCGGTCCATTGCCAAAGCCAGCACCACTGCTTGGTCCACAGCTGAAGCCAGCACTGGTGCTCAGTCCACTGCCGAAGCCAACAATAGAACTGGGTCCACCATTGAAGCTGGTGCTGGTGCTAGGTTCGCCAGTAAAGCCAGTGCTGGTGTTGGAACCACTGCCAAAGCCAATTATGGTGCTCATTCCTCCATTGAAGCTGGTGTTAGGCCCACCGCTAAAGCCATCACTGATGCTGAGGCCACCATTAAAACCAACACTGGGGCCAATTGTGCTGCCAAAGCCAGCATTGGTGCCCAGTCTACCACCAAAGCCATCACCAGAAATCAGTCTGCCACCAAAGCCAGCGCTGGTGCTCAGTCCATTACCAAAGCCAGCACTGGTGCTCCGTCCACCACCAAAGCCAGCACTGGTGCCTAGTCCACCACCAAAGCCAAGACTTGTGCTCAGTCCACCACCAAATCCAGCATTGGTGCTTAGCCTATTGCCAAAGCTGAAACCAGCACTGGTGCTGGGTCCATCACCAAAACTGGCACTGGTAGCACCACTAAAGCAGGTGCCAGTGCTAGGAGGGCCACCAAAGCAGATACTGGCACTGAGTGTGCCACCAAAGCTGGCACCAGAGCTGGGATAGCCACCAAAGTAGACACTAGTGCTGAGTGTGCCACCAAAACCAGTGCTGGTGCTAAGTGCACCACTAAAGACTGCACTGGTGCTGAGTGCACTGCCAAAGCTGGTGCTGGTAATGAGTGTACCACTGAAGCCAGCAGTGGTGCTGAATGTGCCTCCAAAGCCAGAGCTAGCTCCACCAATGAAACTGGTACTGGTATTGAGTAGGCCACTGAAACTAGAACTGACCCCACCACCAAAGCTGGCACTGGTACAAGGTATGCCACCAAAGCTAATGCTAGCTTCACTGCTGAAACTAGAGCTAGTACTGGCTGTACCACTGGAGCTACAGCTGGCTCCACCACTTAAACTAGTGCTAGTGCTGGGTGTGCCACCAAAAGAAATGCTGGCTGTACTACTGAAGCTGGCACTGCTGCTGGGTGTGCCACCAAAGTTAATGCCAGCTCTACCACCAAAGCCACCACTGGGGCTGGGTGCACTACTGAAGCTAATACTAGCACCATCAGTGAAGCTAGCCCTGATACTATCTCCTTGGCTGAAGTCGACGTTGGTGCTGGCATCTGCATTTTCTTGGGCTCCGGCCTGAATTTCAAATGAAAATCTGCTCCAGGACTGAGCATCATCACCTAACTCTTCCCTTGTTAGGCAGTCGATATCCATGTCATCCTAATTCCAGGGCCCAGCCACAGCTTCCTCTCCAATCCTCATTTGGGCTCTTGCCCAGTCCTTGGGGTCTTTCTTCTGCACCTGAAATGGAAACAATAATCATTATAAAGAAAATAACATTTGTAATTATGTATTAAGTACATACTATGGGCTTTATATAAAACTAATAGCAGTATTTTTTAAAATTCTTAGTTACTGGGGCTCTATCATGGGCCAGTCCTGAGATTTGATTTCAGCTCTGACAACTTAGGTGCTGAGTGACCTTGGACAAGTTACTTAACCTCACTAAGCCTAAGTGTCTTCATCTATAATATGGGAAATAAGAGAGTATGTTATGGGTTAAATGCTTTTGTTCCTCCTAAATTCATATGTTGAGGCACCAACCCCCACTGTGACTGTATTTAGAGATAGGGCCTAAATGGAGGTAAAGTTAAATGAGGTCATAATGGTGGGGCCCTGATCCAATAGGATTAGTGTCTTTATAAAAAGAAGCTCTCTCTCCACCATGTGAGGACAGAGCAAGAAGACATCGTGTGCAAGCCAGGAAGAGAGGCTTCACCAGAAACTGACCCTGCTGGACCTCGATCTTGAACTTCTAGCCTCCAGGAATGTGAGAAAATAAATTTTTGTTGTTTAAGCTGCCCAGTCTATGGTATTTTTGTTATGGCAGTCTGAGCAGACTAATACAAAGTAAGAAGAATGAATGAAACAATGTAAACTTTAAGTCCAGCAGCATTCTGGAACATAAATAAAGTTCCATAAATTTATATATGAAGTGCAGGCTGCTCTGTACCTGCCCATCCCTGCACATAGCCTGCTCCAGCCAGGGGCATCCCGTATCTTTAATATGCCAAGTCAGGGCAGCTCTCCTATTACCTTGCATGCAAACTTGAGGACTTTCGTCTTGCTAGTCTCATGATAGGAGCGCAAGCCCCAGAGAACTCGTATTCAGGTGGTCTGCTACTGGGAAGCCTCTTGTACTCCAGGTACCTTGGAGAAAGGAAATGAAACTTGCTTCTAACCAAGCAAACCTGTTGTCTAAGCACCGAGCACCAGGTGGCAAACTCCTCCAAACAAATACTAAACTCAGCTCCTTGAGAAAGATTTCCAAGACCTTCTTTCCCCAGACTCACTCCCAAACACAGTTCATGGTCTTGGCCTGCAATATTGAGCAATTTCCCACTGGCCCTGTGCAAAGCAGTCACTTGGTGCCAGAGGGGAGGCAAGTATAGGTCATGATGTCATGTCACAGGAAGGCCAAAGTATCCTGCCACCCGTGAGGAGTAAACCCAAGTTTCTGTTGGGTGTGTTTTAAACATAGGAGCCAGTCTTCAGGCACTCTGCTCTGAGCACACCGCATAGCAAGGGTCTTGTGTTTGGTCTGGCCCAGCCCTAGAATGGTCCACCCATGGGAATTGTGAACAGGACTCAGTTCTAGGGCACAGGATACCCATACTTCTAAAGCTAGTATAAGAAAAGGGCTGAAGGATCTTGTCAAGATGGCGGTGTGAGAGACATTGAACTCGCCTCCTCCCACAAACACAGCCAAGTTACAACAATTTTTGGAAAAATTACTCTGGATTGAAAACTGAAAACTGGATAAAAAGAACCCGCACAACAAGGGACAGTCCTGACGAAGGCAGAAGAGGCAGTAGGTCCTGCAAGAGAGGAAAAACCCACCTTTGGGAGCAGCAGAGATTCTCAGCTGGCCAGGCGGGAGACACCCTAAGGTACGCAGTCCTCCCTGGAGGAGTTAGGTCCAGAGACGGGGCGATACTGCTATAAGCATACTTCAGATTCAGCCAAACTGAGACGGGGGTCTTACTGTCTGGCTTTGCTGGCTATTGACTGCAATGGGGACACCCCCAGAAAAGCTATCAGACAAAAGCTGAAAAGACCTGGGTCTTAAAGGGCCCACTCACTCATTGCAGCAACCTAAAATCACCAGAGAGAAGGCTGACAGTCCTTCAGTGAAACGAGACTCACCTGGTGGGCTCTGGGGGCATCTTGGTGAGAGGAGGCACCTCTCCAGAGACTGAGACATTGGTTGGGGCCATTGATCTGAGCTGGTCCAGGTGTGCTGACACGGACCCCCGTGGGTGCCACTGAGGTTCATCCCTTGGCCTCTTAGCCCAGGGGTCTGCCATGCCCACTAGAGCACAGATTGAATCCAGTTCAGCCAGGGCAGACAACCCGCCCTAGGGTCTGACCCCACCTAAGGGCAAGCTCTCAGGCTACTTTTCAGCCTGCATTGACTGGGTGCCTTGATCCTCTACAGGCATGCAAAGGTATCTGACTCTGTGGGGCAGGGCCTGTGTGAGGACCAGGTGAAATGTGGGGCGCACTGGTGGAGAAGTGGGAGCCCCTGCAGTGTGGTGTCAGGGTATGCTCCAGGGGTTTGACAAGTGTGCATGACCAGGACTGTGTTGACAGTGTATGTGGTCCTGTGGGGGGTGAGGCTTATCAGTGGCAGAAGACAAATGCTTCACAAATAGCCATAAAAAGGATTGCCCCATCTTCCAAAGCCTGAAACAATTGAGGGCCCTCGGGCCTAGGGCCAGCCCCACTCAGCAGCACTCCTAAGAGAACTGACAACAGCCTTGTAGGCCTGAGGCCTATCACAACTGTACGCCCCTGAACCTAGCAACCGGCTATACTGGGTACCAACCCAAGTAAGAGGAAAACTGCAATAGGAGTGTGCTGATAGTCTTTGTAGCAAACAGTGCTGAGGCTCCCCAAACCGGATTTACAAACAGCTGGCCAGGGAAGGAAAGACTAGACTCCCTGGGTACCTGCAGTGGGAGCAACCCTGCCGCAGCAGAAGGACACAAGTAGTGCACAAAGAGGTCACTCCTGGTTCTTATGGTCTGGTGACGAGAGTGAAGCACACTGCTGGGCCTCATAAGGCATCTCATACATAAGGCCACTCCTCCAACTTCAGAGGACATAGCCCACTCACCTCATACATAGAAATAAGCACAGAGAAAGAGGCATAATGAGGAGACAAAGGAATACTTTCCAAGCAAGGGAACAGGACAAAACCCCAGAAAAAGGACTAAATGAAACAAAAACTAGTGACCTACTCGATAAAGAGTTCAAACAAAATATCATGAGGATGCTCACAGATATGGGGAGAAAGATGGATGAACAAAGTGAGCACATCAGCAGAGAACTGGAAGATATAAAAAAACAGTCAGAAATGAAGAATACAATATTGGAAATGAGAAATTCACTAGAATTTAGCAGAGCAGAGGAAGCAGAAGAATGGATCAGTGAGCTAGACAAAAGACTAGAGGAAATCACCCAAGCAGAACAGAAAAGATAAAAAAGTATTAGACAGAATGAAAACAGTCTAAGGGAACTCTGGGACAATATCAAGGGTGCCAGTATTCAGATTATAGGTGTCCCAGAAGAAGAAGAGAGAGACAAAGGGGCAGAAAATTTATTTGTAGAAATAATAGATGAAAATTTTCCTAACCTGTGGAAGGAAACAGACATCCAAGTTCAGGAAGCACAGAGAGCTCCAAACAAGATAAGCCCAAAGAGGCCCACACCAAGACATATTATAATTAAAATGTCCAAAATTAAAGACAAAGAGAGAATCCTAAAAGCAGCAAGAGAAAGGCCACAAGTGACGCATAAAGGGAAGCCCATCAGGCTATCAGCGGACTTCTCAGCTGAGACCCTACAGGCGAGAAGAGAATGGCACTATGTATTTAAAGTGCTAAAAGGAAAAAACCTACAGCCAAGAATACTCTGTCCATCAAGGTCATCATTGAGAATGGAAGGAGAGAGAACATGCTTCCCAGACAAGCAAAAATTAAAGGAGTTTATCAACAAGAAACCAGTTCTACGAGAAATGCTGAAGGGACTTATTTAAGTGGGAAAGCAATGACCACAAATAGAGATAAAAAAATTATCAAAAAAACACAAAACAACAAAAACAAAAAACCAAGCAATAAAATCACTTGTAAGGTAAAAATATAGTAAAGGCAACAGATCAACTACCTGTGAAGATAATAGGAAGGTTAAAAGACAAATGTACTAAAATCACCTATTTCAATGATAAGAGGGTAATGGATAGACACACACTAAAGATGAGACTATATATGATTTGAAAAACATATAATGTGGGAGGAGGGGAGTGAAAAAGTAGAGCTTTTAGAAAGAGGTCAAGCTAAAGAGTCTATCAACTCAATATAGACTGTTATATGCATAGTATATTAAATAGGATCCTCATGGTAATCACAAATCAGAAACCTATAACAAGCAAGAAAAAAAATAAGACAAAAGAAATCAAACATATTACTAAAGATAGCCATCAAACCACAAGGGAAGAGAGCAAGAGAAAAAGAAAGGAACAGAGAAGAACTACTAAAACACCCAGGAAAAAAAAGTGACAAAATGGCAATAAATACATATTTATCAATACCTATTTTAAATGTCAATGGTCTAAATGCTCCAATCCAATGCCATAGGGTGGCCAATTGGATAAAAAAGGAAGACCCATGTATATGCTGCATACAAGAGACAAACTTCAGACCTAAAGACACTCAAACTGAAAGTGAAAGGATGGAAAAAGATGTTCCATGCAAATAGCAAGGAAAAGAAAGCAGGGGTAGCAATACATATATTAGACAAAATAGACTTTAAAACAAAAACTGTAACAAGAGACAAAGACGGGCACTATATAATGATAAAGGCAACAACCCAACAAGAAAATATAACACTTGTAAATATCTATGCACCCAACATAGGAGCACCTAAATATATAAAGCAATTATTAACAGACATAGGAAAAACAGACAGCAACACAATAATAGTAGGGGACTTTAACACTCCACTTTCACCAATGGATAGTTCATCCAATCAGAAGATCAATAAGGAAACACTGGCCTTAAAGGACACATTCGACCAGATGGACTTAGTAGATATATACAGAACATTCCAACCAAAAACCACAGAATACACATTCTTTTCAAATGCCCATAGAAAGTCTGCAGGAATGATCACATATTAGGCCACAAAACAAGTCTCAATAAATTTAAGAAGATCAAAATAATACCCTGCAACTTTTCTGACCACAAAGGTATGAAACTAGAAATCAACTACAGGAAGAAAACTAGAAGAGCCAAAAAAATGTGGAGATTAAACAAAATGCTACTGAAGAACAATTGGGTCAATGAAGAAATCAAAGAAGAAATCAAAAAATTCCTGGAGACAAATGAAAATGAAAACACGACATGCCAAAATCTGTGGAATGCAGCAAAAGCTGTTCTAAGAGGGAAGTTTATAGCAATTCAGGCCTTCCTCAACAAACAAGAATTAACAAAACCCTTAGCTAGACTCACCAAGAAAAAAAGAGTGAAGGCTCAAATAAATAAAATCAGAAATGAAAGAGGAGAGATTACAACGGACACCTCACAAATACAAAAGATTATAAGAGAATACTATGAAAAGCTATATGCCAACAAATTGGATAATCTAGCAGAAATAGATAGATTCTTAGAAACATACAACCTTCCAAAACTGGACCAAGAAGAAGTAGAAAATTTGAATAGACCGATCACCAGTAAGGAGATCGAAACAGCAATCAAAAACCTCCCAAAAAATAAAAGTCCAGGACCAGATGGCTTCCCTGGTGAATTCTACAAAACATTCAAAGGAGATTTAATACCTATCCTTCTCAAACTCTTCTAAAAAATTGAAGAGGAGGAGAGGCTTCCTAATTCATTCTATGAAGCCAACATTATCCTGATACTGAAAACCAGACAAGGACAACACAAAAAAAGAAAATTACAGGTCAATATCACTGTTGAACATTGATGCAAAAATCCTCAACATAATACTAGCAAATCGAATACAACAATACATTAAAAATATCATACATCATGATCAAGTGGGTTTCATTCCAGGGATGCAGGGACGGTTCAACATCTGCAAATCTATCAACGTGATACACTACATTAACAAAATGAAGAATAAAAATCACATGATCATCTCAGTAGACAAAGAGAAAGCATTTGACAAGATACAGCATCCATTTATGATAAAAACTCTAAATAAAATGGGTATAGAAGGAAAATGCCTCAACATAATAAAGGCCATATATGACAAACCCACAGCTAATATCATTCTCAGAGGAGAAAAACTGAAAGCTATCCCTCATAGAACAGGAAACAGACAAGGATGCCCACTGTTACCACTCTTATTTAACATAGTATTGGAAGTCCTCACCAGAGAAATCAGGGAAGAAAAAGAAATAAATGGGATCCACATTGGAAAACAAGAAGTGAAACTGTCACTCTTTGCAGATGACATGATTTTATATCTAGAAAACCCTAAAGATTCCACTAAAAAACCTTTAGAAACAATAAAGGAATACAGTCAAGTCACGGGATACAAAATCAACATGCAAAAGGCGTTTGCGTTTTTATACACTAACAACGAAGTAGCAGAAAGAGAAATTTAAGAATACTATCCCATTTACAATTACAACAAAAAGAATAAAATACCTAGGAATAAATTTAACCAAAGAGGTGAAAGATCTGTACACCAAAAACTATAAAACATTGTTGAAAGAAATGAAGAAGACACAAAGAAATGGAACGCTATTCTGTGCTCTTGGATTAGAAGAATTCACATAGTTAAAATGTCCATACTTCCTAAAGCAATCTATAGATTGAACGCAATCCCTACCAAAGTTCCAACAACATTTTTCACAGAAATAGAACAAAGAATCCTAAAATTTATATGGAACAACGAAAGACCCCAAATAGCCAAAGGATTCCTGAGAAAAAAGAACAAAGCTGGAGGGATCACACTCCCTGATTTCAAAATATACTACAAAGCCATAGTAACCAAAACAGCATGGTGCTGGCACAAAAACAGACACACAGATCAATGGAACAGAATTGAGAGCCCAGAAGTAAACCCACACATTTATGGACGGCTAATATTCGACAAGGGAGCCAAGAGCATACGATGGAGAAAGGACAGTCTCTTCAATAAATGGTGTTGGCAAAACTGGACAGCCACGTGCAAAAGAATGAAAGTAGACCATTCCCTTACACCATGCACAAAAATCAACTCAAAGTGGATTAAAGACTTGAACGTAAGACCCGAAACCGTGAAACTTCTAGAAAAAAACATAGGCAGTATGCTCTTTGACATCAGTCTGAGCAGCATATTTTCAAGTCCCATGTCTGACCCTGCAAGGGAAACAAAAGAAAAAATGAACAAATGGGACTACATCAAACTAAAAAGCTTCTGCACAGCAAAGGAAACCAGCAACAAAACAAAAAGACAACCTAACAATTGGGAGAAGATATTTTCAAACCATATATCAGATAATGGGTTAATATCCAAAATATGCAAAGAACTCACACAGCTCAACCACAAAAAAACCAAGAATCCAATTAGAAAATGGGCAAAAGATCTGAACAGAGATTTCCCCAAAGAAGATATACGGATGGCCAACAGGCATATGAAAAGATGTTCAGCATCATTAGCTATCAGGGAAATGCAAATTAAAACTGCAATGAGGTTATCACCTCACTCCAGTCACAATGGCTATAATTAACAAGACAGGAAACAACAAATGTTGGAGAGGATGGGGAGAGAAGGGAACCCTTGTTCACTGCTGATGGGAGTGCAAACTGGTGCAACCACTATGGAAAGCAGTATGGAGTTTCCTCAGAAAATTAAGAATAGATCTACCATATGATCTAGCTATCCCACTGCTGGGTATTTATCCAAAGAACTTGAAAACACAAAGGCATAAGGATACTTGCACCCCTATGTTCATTGCAGCATTATACACAATAGCCAAGACTTGGAAGCAACCTAGGTGCCCATCAAGGGACGAATGGATAAAGAAGATGTGGTATTTATACACGATGGACTGCTACTCAGCCGTAAGAAATTATGAAATCCAGCCATTTGTGACAACATGGATGGACCTTGAGGCTATTTTGCTGAGTGAAATAAGCCAGAGGGAGAAAGTCAAATACCATACGATCTCACTCACAAGTAAAGATAAAAACAATGACAAACAAACACATAGCATTGGAGATTGAATTGGTGGTTACCATAGGGGAAGAGGGGAGGAGGGCAACAGGGAGGGGTGATTAAGCTCACATGTAAGGGGATGGACTATAATTAGTTTTTGGGTGGTGAACGTAATGTAATCTACACAGAATTCAAAATATATTATGATGTACATCCAAAAATACACAAATAAATGGGAAAAAAAGAAAAGGGCTGAGTAACTACTTTTAGAACCAGACCAGTACACCCAAAACACATCAGGGCCTGACAAAGCCCCAAAACACCACTTACTTCTGCTTCGCAAACTCATCTGTGATGAGCGTCCTTACTTCCCCAAAGGGTGAGTGCCTCACCCTGACAACGGGAAAATGAATGAATGAGTAGATGTCAGAAGTTCCCAGATGAGGGCAGAGGTATTCCCCTACGTGGACGAAACCTCTCTAGCACATGAGACTATCTCAACGAAGCCAGGAAAAAGTGAACACATGGCCACTAGAAACAAATGGTTGAGGCCGATGGTTCTTTGTTAAAGATGCCCTGAAGGTCAATCTTATATCTCAGCTGAGAACAGACAGAGGGCATAGGTGAGACAGGGAGCAGAGAGTTCAGGACCATTTCCCCATCCACCAGGTCAGAACTCTGGGCCCTCTACCCAGTCCAGCACTCCCGCCCACTCCACCAGACCACTGGGCTGATGCAATCCTGAGACCATCCTCTCTTGCCAAAGGAGAACATGGACAGCAAGTGCAGAGAGAGCCCAATCATACCCAGGGCGCAGCCCCAACTTGCGCAGCACCTCCCAGATGACAGCTGCAAGGGGAGGCAAGAGGAGACAGGGACAGAAAATGAACACATGGAATTCTGACCATGGCCACCCATTCAGCTGTGCACCCAGCCACTCACCCTCACTGGACCGATTTCCATTCATGAAGATGATGCTAAGAAGCACCATGAGGAGACCTAGTTTGAGTGTATCCTTGGTCCTAGGGGAATATTAGGACACAGAGAAGGTTTACATCCAGTAGCTATCTGCAAAAGACACACCAGCCAGCTTCAGTAGACTGGCCTCTCCAGATTCCTCAGATAAGGGAGACTTCTGCCCAGTCTATGCTTCAAGCTCTATGTGACCCTGGGCAAAGCACGTAGACTCTTGAGCCTCAGCCTCCTATTCAGTAGAATGGGAAAATCACATCCTCCCCTCCCTGGGTTGCCAAGAGAATGGAAGAATTCTCTCAACCTGGTACAACCCAGGCACTTAGTCAATGTGAGTCCCTTCTTTCTCTCCCACATCCCTCAGCCCCAAGAGAATTCTAGGCACAGAATTCTAGGTACTGATGACCCTGCCCTTTGAGCATCATGATACACCCACACCAGAAAGCCCTCCCTTGAGAACCACTCAACCAAGGCTAGTAGGAAGAGACAAGCAACAACAGGTTGTCTGGGAAACTTCTAGAGAAACAGAAAACCTGACAGTAGGAATGCCCCACCTCAGGCTTCTATGCCTTTCAGCCAATCATAAATCAGGTACCACCATTGTGTGCAGGGCTCCAACTACAGTCGGGAGCTGCAACAGGAGCTTTATAGGCCGTCTTTCCTGGCTCTCTAAGGGGATGTGGGGAGAGAGAACAGGGATGGGGTAGTACCATGGAAAAGAGCAGAAGCCTCCCTCCCACCCCAGCCCTTTCCCAGCTTACGTTCCCAGTACGCCGGCAGAGGATTCTTGAGTGCTGAGAGAATATACAAGCTACTTTGCTTATCAATTTCCTTCAGATTGACTTGAAACATCTGCCAAGTAAAACAATAGCCTATGAGATCACAAAATTCAGCTTAGGCATCAGTGAGCTTCCTGAGCATCCCACAGTTCCCCGTGTACCTAGGGGTGTGTGTGTGTGTGAGTGAAATCAGTGAGATAATGCATGTAAAGCACTTAGCTAAGTGGCCAGCACACAGCAAACAGGTAACAAATGTACTATTGTTATCAACATCATCTTCATGATTAGTGGGAACCTAGGGAGACAGAGAATGGGGAATGGAAGGGAGAGGTGAGCATCTGAAATACATTACAGGACGTGTCCAGCAGTGGACAGAAGCCGGGACTAAGTCGGACGGCTTGGGTCCAAGCTGTGCTTTTATCCCTGACTTGCTCTGTGACCCTGGGCTAGTCTGTACTCCTCCCTGGGCCACCATATGCTCATCTGCACAGAGACGGGATTGGATGAGTGAGTCTCTGTGTTCCCCCAAGAAGGGACATGTACACCTTTGTTCAATTCAAGGCATCCCCATTGTGCCCATGCCCCAGAGCTGCCTCTTCACCTTCTCCAGAGCGTAGCTTGCTCGTTCAACGATCTCTGGGAAATATTCATCATATTCTTGGATGACATCCTTCAGCATGTCTGCAGGAAAGCAGACGTGGGAGCAGCTGGGCTGAGCAGGGGCCACAGAGCAGCAGCCCTTTTGCCAGCCCTGTGGAGTCAGTACATTCTGAGTCCTGAACAGTGTTAATGGGAGGTGCCAGCTATGGCAGGGTGTGAGGAGGGCAGAGGAAGACATGTGAGACAATGAGGAGGCCATAAAGATAAATGGCTATCCTCAGGGCATGAGGGAAAAAGGAATGAAGAAGAGAGCTCAGGCAAGAGGATTGCTATGACTCTACCTGAGCACTTGATGGGGATCTCTGTCTCGTCCTTAACCAACAGGTATTTCACCAACTTATTTGCCCGGGAGAAGAGGAATACATGGGGAGATCTTAATAAGTTTACAGAAAACTTGAAAGGATCACAGAGAAGAGGACAGGTGAAGAAGAGAAGAGACTGGGCAGCACTGGATTCTTACCTTTTCTTGCAAAATGGCCGCATCTTGGGGTGGCGGAGGCCTCCAGCCCCACAGGATCCTCCTCTAATTACTGCCACCTCTCTCATCCCCTTTCAGATGTTTGGACTGCATCATCAGAAATAAGGAAGGTCCAGAGTCACCAGGTTAAAGAGATGACTCTGTCTCCTTACCCTGCCTCCTTCTGAAAGTCCCCTAAACCCTCCCTGTGTGGGTCCTGACCTTACCATTGGCCACCCTGAGCCCTAAACTTGTCTTTCACTGTCTTCTAGGCAGGAGTTTAATTTCCCTACCAGGACAGAAGCAATGTAAGGGCAGGGCCTGGGGTTCCTTCTTTTCTTTTGGCCCTCATTGATTCTTCTGGCTGTACCCCTTGAACAAGTCACTTCATCTCTCTAGAACTCAGTTTTCTTATCTGTAAAACTGGAACAAATGATCCCTAGCTGGTAAGAGTTACTTTCAAAACATAAAGACATAACCTGTGTGATTGTACCCAAAACAAAGCCCGGCTCATGGTAACTACTGTGTAAATGCAAGTTGAGTTATATCCAGATTGTAGCGAAGTGTACGGATGTCTTATTTCCCCATCAATTTGTGAACTGCCAGGGAGTTCTACATCACATTCTTCTCAGCATCTGTCACAGCCTATCTGAACACAGGGACTGGCTCAGAGTAAAAAGGCTCAGTAAACTTTTATAGAACAAATGAACAAACTAGGAGGATAGGGATGGAAAAGAAGTGCAAAGTTAAGGATGGTGATGTCAGAGATCTCACCTTTCAGTTCCTCCTGACCCGGGTCCTGTTTGTGGGCTCCAGACTCAACTGAGCCAGGTAGTCATCTGCTAGGGCCTGGACATCAGCAAAACCTGAGTCTCAAGGGCACTTATGTTGGTCTGACAGATGCCCATCTTGACCTGGGCCCCTTGGTCAACAATTTGAGGCTGCCTTTCAACTGCCAGGCCCTTATTGATAGCCTTCTCGCCCTTGAATTTTTGGGGCCAGATCGTTATTGCTGAGGCCTCAATCTGCCTGGTAGCTGTCTCAGCGGACTTTGGGGTCTCTAGCAGCTCAGTGTCAGTATGTGCACCTTTAACAATTGCCTTTTAGGCTTTGGAGGCTTTCTTAGTTCGTATGGAGGCTGCTGTGGACTGGGTGTTGGCTATCTCATTGGCAATTTGGCCTTGGGTAGTAGCTATGTGGGTGATGGTTAGAACCAGCGACATCTCAGTGGCAGTAGCTATGGCCTTATTGGCAGCCTTCTTAAACTTGGAAGCTTTCTTAGGCTTGGTATAGGCTATCAAGGCCTGGGAATTTGCTGATTCACTGGCAGCTGGAGCTTGGATAGTATGTGGGATGACTGGTAGGTTTAGGGCCTGCAAGGGTGACTTGATCTGTGTAGTGACACTCTCACTGCCAGCTGGAGATTGGCAGCTTTGGGCTGCCTTAGCGGTAACTTTTTCTGTCTTGTTGGCTTTCTTAGGCTGAGCAGTGAAGAAGCCTGAGTTTTGGCTGTCTCAGTGGTAGCTGAAGCCTGGTTGATCTGGGGGATGATCGGCAGTTTTTAAACCTGCAAAGTTATTTTAAGCTTGTTTATGGTAATTGCATTGGCAGATGGAACTGGATGGGCAGCAGTTATGGTCTTAGTAATAGCCTTAACAGGAGCCTTCTTGGTTTTGCTTTTCTTTGGCTGGTTGGAAGCTGGTGGGTCCATGGCCAGGGGTTCCTTGGTTGCCGCAAAGAGGGTATGCATCAGCAAGACACTGTCCTCTTCTGTGGTTTCTGCCTGGACATCTGGAGGGAAGTGAAGCCCTAGGCTCCCAGGGGGAGGCAGAGGGCCCTACACACTTAGGATTATGATCTGCTGAGCCATCTGGCCTCCCTACAGCCCACCCTTTCCAGAAGGCCTCCCGTTACTCTGAGCAATGATTGATTGAAGGGGAGGGTGAGGGAAGAGGAAGGGAGGAGGAGACAGAGTAGGGTAGGTTTTCCTCTCCTCCTCCTCTCCCATGCAGGGGAGGAGTGAGACAGGTTAGGCAGGGAATTACCCAACTACAGAGTGGTAGAGGAATCAAGAGTAGTAAGTGAACTCAGGATGGGGTAGATGGCCTGGCAGGAATGCAGAGAGGCCTCACCTGGAACGCAGGCATTCTATAACCGTATTCACTTTTCCTATCCATTTTTCTGAGAGGCAGAGTAACAGCTGAGCCTGAGAGGAAGGGGCCTGAGTTAAGGGAGAATGACAGGGAGGAGGAGATTCATTAGACATCCCGCCTATCCTAGAGGGAGGATCCCATCTAACCTTGGGCCCCAAACTCTTCAACTACTGGGTTCTCACATCTAGAAACCCAGACGGTCTGGTTTACAAACCTTAGCTTCTTTTGCCTCCAAGAAACCACAAGGCAGTTCTACGACCCCGCCCCTTTACCCTCACACGCCCCCTACTGCAACTCGATAGTGCGCATTGCGCATGCGCACCAACCCGGGCGCCCCCATCTCAGGCACTAGGTTCGCATGATTTTGGTGTGCTGCACACTCTGGCCACCTCAATTGCACAAACGACCAATGCTCCCAAAGCAGTAGAACATCTGGGCCCCACCCCTGGCCCACTCTAACTGCATCACATCTTGGTCCAACCCTTCCCCCAACATCAGCCCCCTCCCTCCGCTCTGCAGTACCTCTTCGCACCGCCCCTTCCCCAACATCGCCCACTTCTTCCTGGCAGTACAACCACGCACCGCCCCTTCCCGATACGCCCCTTCCCTCTGCTCTGCAGTACTTCTCTGCACTTCCTCTTGCCTTAATACGCCCCCTCCCTCTGCTCTGAAGTACCGTCCTTGCACCACCGCTTCCTCAACACCGCTCCCCGACTTCCATGTCTGCGAGTGACCGGTCCCGCCCTTTCTGCACCGTGGATACCCCACCCACAAATAAACGGTATTACGCTTTTGTGTATTCCTTGTTCCTGAACCCTACCTGGTGCTGTCCCTTCTTTTTTTAAACTAGAATCAACTGGGTCTTAGCCCTTCTTTTCTCCGCTCTGAGCTGGGACATTACAGCTGTTCAAAAGGTATTCTGCCCCTTCCTTTCTTCGGGTGCTGATCCCTGCTTTCTGTGGTCCAAACCAAGTCCTGACCCCTTTTTCCAGCCTAACGGAGTCCTGCCATCGCCTCTCTACCTCTCGAGCTCTGTCCTACTCCTTTCTTTCTAGTGCCTGAATTTTTCACTCTCTTCTTTCTGGGGTCCCACCAGGTCGACATCCCTCCTTTCTGCGGCCCCAACCGAGTCCAGTTCTCTCCCGCTTGTGCTCTGAAGGGGATTCTGCCCCCTCCTTTCTCCCCAACGAACCAGGTCCAGGCACCTCTAAACCCGACCACTTCCATATAGTTAACTCCCGAAACCCTAACAGGTTTTCTTCAAACCCTAGGGGCATGTGGAGTCAAGCACGTTGAAGCCCCAGTCCAGAGACCCCCACAGGGTATTCTCTACAGCTGGATACCTGAGTTCACCTCGTCCTCCCAAGTCCAGAAAGCTTCCACTCTCTCCAAACCTCTCCTTAGATCTGAGCCTGTCCGCTCCCCCTCCATGGCCAGAAGTGGTCCTGCCTCCTTTCCGCCTCCAGAGGGGTCTCCCTCCCAGCTTGTCAACCTCCTCCCCAGCTCCCTCCTTCCAACTTTCCATTCTCCTCAATGTGGTCTTTTTTCTGCTTACTACCCCTTATGCAGCTATCATTCCCTTCTATTCTCCATTTGATTTCTCAATTCCCCCACCCTGTATCCCCGTTTCTATTTGATTCCTCTGTTTCTCCTAGGAGGACTGTGCTTCTCTGAGCTCCCAAGCCAGCTCTCCCTACTGCCCCCCACCCCATGCCAACACTAATTACATAGTGTGTTGTTGCAGTGTATGTCTGGGTCTCTCTCCCCAGGAGCTGATCTGGGGGCAGGGGACTGGGTCACGTTCATTTCTGTCTCTCCAGTATGATCAGATCAAGACATTTAGAGGCTCTAAACACTAAAAGATAGGGTGCCCCCACATCATACATAATTCAGAATAAAAACAGCAAATGTAAGAAAGTCTACCACAGGTTTTTGTTTATCCCCTGATGACTATATTGATGCTTTTGAAGAATATCAACTTATCTGAAAAATTTTATTGGGCCCATGTTTCTCTTTTACTGGTGCACTGAGCAAGTACTTAGACTCTGTCTTGTGAAATGGAGCACTGCTCCCCAGTGCAGAAAACAGTTCTCCTTGGGCACTGATTTATGTAGTCGCTTGTTAATGATTTGTTGAGCACACAGCCGTGCCAAGGCCGTTGCTGGATGATGGACAAAGAAAGACAAGTAAGATAGGATGCCTGTCCTCCAAGAAAACTCACAACCATTCTTAAGTTCTAAGACACCCATGAAGGAGGAACTAGTACTATCATCATTTCACAGTTGATGAAATTAATGCCCAAGAGGTGAAGTGCCTTGTTGAAAGGCACGTGGCCAGTAAGTGATGGAACAGGATATAAACCCACATCCGGTTGATTCCAAAGCCTGACACTCACTGTGACAGGTCTGATTCTCGGCTCTACTGATGGGAAGAGAAAAGAGCCCCACAATGGCCCTGTACTCTCCATTTCTCCGTTCTCTTCTCCTCCTTTCTCTTGCCCATCCCAACACCCTATCTCTCTTCCCCCTCCCCTCCTTCTCTCCAAGGCTTCTCTTCTCTTTCTCACATTTCTTCTTTCCTTTCATGTACTTTCTCTTTCTCTAATTCACTGGTGAAGAGTTTCCCAATGGTTTCCCGTGTGCCACAATCCATGCTAGGCATTGGACATGCGAAAATGGGTGAGTTCACACCCTGTCCTTGAAGAGTTCTCCATCTTGCTGGGATGCCTAATACCTATGTTACCTAGGAATCCCAGAGCAGCCTGCTGAGAGGGCTCATGGGGAAAATCACTAACTGGAAGGGAGTTAAAGCTTCCAGATAGAGTATGTTTGAGCCAGGTCCTGCGGGAGGAGTAGAACATTGGCAGAAGAGAGGAGAGGGAACAGTTCTCACGGAGGACTGCAGGCTCTGAGGAGCCTTTGCTGAGTGTAGGGGCACATGGGACAGGGGTGGATGGGTCTCTGCTCTGATGAGCCTGCTTCCCATCTGCTCCACTCCAGTCCCTTCTCACAGAGGCCCTCAGAGTCATATTTCAAAGCACAAAGCTGACCATACCTACAGCCTCCAAGTTTACATTTAAACAGCCTGCAGGTTTAAATCCAAGCTCCCTTGCCTGTCATTCAAGGCCCTCCACAACCAGCCCCTGCCAGTCCCCCAGGCCTCAGTCACAGTGGGTGACTCATCATCCCCCAAACATGTTCTGCCTTCTGCCAACGTCATACCTTTGCTCAAGCTGGTCCTCTGCCTGGGGTGTCTTTGTTCCCCACGTCCATGCCTCTCTCCTGACTGTGAAAGGCCCGCCTCCCTAAAAGGACTGGGTCAAGTGCTACTTTCTCCAAGAAACCACCTCAGATCACCCCAAGTTTAATTAGTTTTTCCTTCCTCCTTACTTCTTTGCATGGCTCTGTCAGAGCACTTAACAAACTGGGTTGGAGCTCTCTGTTTACTGGTTTACCCTCAGTCCTACCTGCTGGATTGTGAGCTCCTTGGGGCCCCATCATGCAGACCTGGTCAACTCTGACAGCCTAGAACTCATCCTGCTTCAGAGTAGGAATAAGTGTGAAATATTATATTACCTCTTCTTCTTCACTTCCTCTTCAGCCATTTATTGCCTCTCTCCTCCCTTTATTTCCTTTTTTCTCACATTGTCATTTTTTGAGTTTTTGCATTAAACCATGCCTACATCCAGTGCTATCCTTAAACTTTCCTAATACATGATATAACCCATTCCATTTATTTCAGTGTGGATGGATTTTCTCTTGTTTGCATCCAAAAGCATACCTATACAGAACTTGGTACCAAGTTGTTACAGGTAGAGACTGCAGCAGAGGAGACAGTTAGAAAATTATAAAGTATCAGGGTGTGTTGGCTACATCTAGGGCCCCTCAAAAAAGTTTCTGTGAAAAAGGAATAAGCTGAATTTGAGACTGGCTAGAATGAAAACCAATAAGCATATAATTATGGAAATTCAAATTACCATAAAATAAGATACCACTTTTCTCTATCAAGTTAGTAAAAACTAAAAAATCCTAAAAATCTAAAAAAAGAAAGATTGATAGTCCATAATGGTTGGGAGAGTGTTAGAATATAGACACTATCATTCAATATATGTGGGGGTACACACAGTTGTGCCACTATCTTATCTAGTAAAATTACAGATGAGTATAACCTATAATCCAAAATTCCACTACTAGGTAGTATCCAAGAGCATCATGGATTCCTAAGGATCCATGAAAATCAATGTTTATTGCAGCATTGTTTGTAATAGGACAGAATTAGAAGGCTACCCAAAATTTAAAAAAGAAACAGGCAATTTGATAAGTAAATTGTGGCATGTTCTTTCAACGGGATACTATACAACAGTTAAAATATGTATCACAATGGATATTTACCTACTGGTATGTTTAGTAGCATACCATTGATACGAAGTTTGAAAACATGCAAAACTACACTATACATTATTTATGGATAAATACGTATATAGTAACAATATAAAATATGCATAGGGAAGGAAGGGGCAATGGGTTTTGGACAAAGGTACACAAGTATCTTTAAATCTATCTAAAATATTATATGTATTTAAAATATATATAAATCTGGGGGCTGGCCCCGTGGCCGAGTCGTTAAGTTCGCGCGCTCCGCAGCAGGCGGCCCAGTGTTTCGTTGGTTCGAATCCTGGGCGCAGACATGGCACTGCTCACCAGACCACGCTGAGGCAGCGTCCCACATACCACAACTAGAAGGACCCACAACGAAGAATATGCAACTATGTACCGGGGGGGGGCTTTGGGGAGAAAAAGGAAAAAAATAAAATCTTTAAAAAAAAATAATATATATATATATAAATCAAGCAAAGCTTGGTAGGCATTGAGGTGAAAGAAACTGGTAGCCAGGGATCTTTCTCGTTAGTTGGTGTCCATACCGTACAAATTGTTAAATATTTTGTAATATCACCTCTGTAAGCCTTAAAAAATGTTAGGATTTGATAGGTATGGATAGTGTGTTGACAAGTGTTTATGTTATAATCTGCACATTAATGCATCTTAAATATTTTATAATAAAGCCTAATATTCTATAAAAAGACCTGATGACCTGAGCACATGGAGAGATAAATCACATTTATGGATAAGATGATTTAACACTATAAAAATTTCACTATCTCCGAAATTTATCTATAAATTGAGTGCCATCTCAGCTAAAATCCCAGCAAGAATTTTTTTTGAAGGGGAAACTAGACAAACTAATTCTAAGATATATATAGAGAGACATCATCATCATGGAGGCATGAAAGTATCCCTTGGTCTACAGAGAGTAAAACATCCATAACCCAACAAAAGCTGT